CTCACTCTGTTGCCCAGGCTGGAGTACAGTGGCACAATCTTGGCTCACTGCAACCTCCACCTCCTGGGTTCAAGCGATTCTCCTGCCTCAGCCTCCTGAGTAGCTGGGATTACAGGTACCCTCCACCACACCCAGCTCATTTTTGTATTTTTAGTAGAGATCGGGTTTTACCATGTTGGCCAGGCTGGTCTCGAACTCCTGACCTCAAGTGATCCCCCTGCCTTGGCCTCCCAAAGTGCTGGGATTACAGGCGTGAGCCACTGTACCTGGCCCAAATTTACTACTTCTGATACCCCTTGGAATGATGATTTCTTTTACTTTTCTTTAAATGAGTAGACTTCCTTACCCTGAAACACATCTATTTAAATATCTCTTATTCTTATAAAGGCTATTTAATATAAAAACTGTAAGCAGGAAACCAGAGCTGCTTGGCTAAGGAAGCTGAAAAAACAAACACACCCCGCAGAGCAATGCTGCAAATCCTCGAGGCGTGGGCTCCACGGAGGGCACCCAGCATGCATCTGCACACTCTGTGCTAAAGAACGGAGAGCAGAAAGTGCTAGAAAAATCGGGGACGTGCATAGTAGCACCAAACACAGCCTTTCCTTGCTGTAATCAGGATAGAAGGAGATTTGGTGGGCGGGGAGCATAGCCATTTCATTCTGAGATGCGGTTATTTCATGCTGTGCCCATGTGCCCCTAGAAATGACGTGGGTAGCATTGGTGGTGGGTGCCCAGCCCTGTGTGACATCCTAATCTAGTCCAGCTGCTCATTCACAGACGGGGAGACTGAAGCCCAGAGAGGGGAAGTGACTTACCCCTAGTCTTCCAGTGAGTTAGAGGCAGAGTAGGGCCCAGGACCCAAGCCTGTGGGCCCGCCCCCACCTCCTGCACCTTCCACACCATGCTGGCCTCTCCCATCTGTCCCCAGACCCCTGTCCTCCATGTCTCCCATGCCTTCCCTGCCCCCTCAGTGTGGCCTGAGGGCATGAGTCTGCTGCTCTGGGGAAGATGCCAGTGGCCTCAGGGGCTGCCTGTGACCAGCCCCACCGCCTTCTTTCTAAGTACCCCCCACTATCTGGGGCTCCAACGAGACAGGAGAGGTGGCCGTCATGGAGGGCCACCTGGTGCAGCTCCTGTGCGAGGCCCGAGGAGTGCCCACCCCGAATATCACCTGGTTCAAGGACGGGGCCCTGCTGCCCCCCAGCACCGAGGCCGTCTACACTCGGGGTGGTCGGCAGCTACAGCTGGAGAGGGCCCAGAGCTCAGATGCCGGCGTCTACACCTGCAAGGCCAGCAATGCTGTGGGGGCCACAGAGAAGGCCACCAGGCTGGACGTTTACGGTGAGCAGCCAGGGGCCACGGCAGCCAGGGTGGGCAGTGGGAGGGACTCAGCCATGGTGGCCTCTGCCTGTCTCCAAAGGAAGGCTAGGTGGCCGCCTGGAGTGGTCAGAAGCAAAAGGATAATGGGACCAAGACATCATCTAGGGAGAAGGGTCCTCCCAGCTCATGCAACGTCCCTCACACACGTAAGGAAACTGAGGCCAGGGGTGGACGGGCCCGTCTAGGAGGCCATGGCGGAGCCAAGTCTAGCATCCAGGTCTCCTCTTGTGGTGTGGGGCTTCTCACTAAACCATGCCCAGAAGCCTGTGACCAACACAAGAACTAAACACCCTTAGGTAATCACTTTTTTTTTTTTTTTTTTTTTGAGACGGAGTCTTGCTCTGTCGCCAGGCTGGAGTGCAGTGGCCTGATCTCCGCTCACTGCAGCCTCCACCCCCCAGGTTCAAGTGATTCTCCTCCCTCAGCCTCCCGAGTAGCTGGGATTACAGGCATGCATCACCCCACCCTGCTAATTTTTGTATTTTTAGTAGAGATGGGGTTTCACCATGTTGGCCAGGATGGTCTCGATCTCCTGACCTCGTGATCCGCCTGCCTTGGCCTCCCAAAGTTAATCACGTCTATAAGCTAGACTAGAGGGGCACTTGGCAGCATCAGCTCATTTGATCAGCTGGCAAGGGGACTTGGGCTCTCAGGTTCCACTTAGAGATGGTCACAGTGAAGCTCTGAAGCAGAGAGGCTTCCCCAGGATCACGCCACTAGCAGGTGGTGGGACCCGGCCCATATGTGGGGACATCTGACTCTAAATCTCACACTGTGAACCTCAGCGTCAGCTCAGCTCAAAGGGGCTTGGCTCTGGGGACAGACAGACATTTGAAGGAGAGCTCAGAGGCAAGGGCGTTGGTGGCTCTGGAGGGGTCTGAGCAGGGCCTGGTGAAGTATGAGAGGGCAGAGTGCAAGCTGACAGGGGTCAGCCTGCCCCCCTGTGGGGAGTCAGTTCAGAAGCTCTGGCTTCCAAAGATGCAAAGGGCTTGGGTGTTGGAGCCTCAGGGACTCCAGAGGGCAGCTGGGCGGCGTGGGGTCCACTGGCAGCCTCTGAAGATGGCTCTGCTACTAGCTTGGGGACTCTTATTTTGGAACCTGAGGGTCCCCTTGGAAAATGGAATAGAAAATGTATGTGTCTGTTTTCATCAAATTCTCAAAGGGTTTTACACACAAATAAAGTTGAGAAGTATTTCCCAGGCCACAGTTGCCCCTTGTCCCCTGGTAATAGCTTCATCAGCTCAGCAACTTGAGGGGCTCCTTGAGAGTAAGAGAGAAATTTCCCCTCTGGTGTGGCTACCATGGGCTCTGAGCACAGATAACATCTTTGGCCGTCGCTGGCTGAGATAGGAGCCCTTCAAGCCAAGCCGTCTAGCTCAGGTCTGCCCCAGTCTTCTGCCTCCTGAGCCCAGGGAGGGAGGGGACCTCCAGGAGCAGAGCTCCGTCACAGCCCTGGGGGTCTTATCTGAGTCCAGCAGATATTGGACCTGCCATGTGTACACATTGGCAGCCCTGGTTCCACCCATGCTGGACCTGTGGGGCTGGCAGCGGGGATGGAGAGGCAACAGTCAGTGCCCTGGCAGGGGAGGGGCGGTACCCAGGGACCAAGGGGGGAGAGAAAGCTGCCCCGGGTCTCAGCAGGGGAGCCAGCCAGTGGAGGTGAGGGAGGAAGTGTCTCACATGGAGTGGGGTCTGTGAGGGGCTTGACCGACTCTGTTGGGCTGAGATGAGAGCAGGCTGGAGTCCGTGTGGTCCCTAAGCAGTCCCCTGCCTCTTTTCCAGTCCCACCCACCATCAAGGGTGCTGATAGAGGACCGTATGTGGTGAAGGCTGTCGCTGGGAGGCCCATGGCACTGGAGTGCGTGGCCAGAGGCCACCCGCCCCCCACCCTCTCCTGGCACCACGAGGGGCTGCCCGTGGCAGAGAGCAACAAGTTGTGGCTGGAGACGGGTGGCAGCGTGCTGAGGCTGGACAGCCTCGGGGAGGCGTCGGCTGGCCTGTACAGCTGCGTGGCCAGCAGCCCTGCCGGGGAGGCCGTGCTGCAGTACTCCGTGGAGGTGCAGGGTGAGCCGGGCCTGCCCCACTCAGAGCTGCCTGCGCTGTGGCCTCTGCCCAGGCCTGCTGCATGCTTGTCCCAAGTCAGCTCCTGCAGTGGAGGGAGAGGGGGAGAAGTAAGCAGTGTCCCCGCGTTGCATGACACACTGAGGCCTGGGCTGCGGGGCCGGCAGGACTAGGAGTGGGCAGCGCGGAGCCCCAGGATCAAGGGTCCCTGCCCCTGCCCAGGACCCTGGGCCGGGTCACCCAGGACCCCATTCTGCTTTCTGCCAATGGAATGGCCCTTAATGGAGACCTTCCTAAGGCCCACTTGTGGATGTGGTCCCGGGAGGGCACTGGGGCCTTCGCCTGCCCTTCTGTCCATTGCTGAAGCATCTCAGGTACTAGCGCTGTGCTGGCCCCGTGTGGCACTGGAAATGAAGCTGGGAACAAGGCCAGCCGGACTCCTGAGCCCTCAGTCTGCCAAGGAGACAGATGTGAAATAATCAGGCCCAAGCCTGCGGAAGCCAGGCTGTCCCCTCACTCCGCCTTGGGGTGGTCCTGGAAGGCCTCCTGGAGGAGGGGCCACTAATAGGGAGACCTGAAGGGTGAGGTGTGGCTGGGCCTTGTTCTGAGGGCACTGGGGACTTGGGAGGGTTTGAGGCCAGTGGCTGTTCAGCTCCAAACACCCAGGAGTGGGTTCTGCCTGCAGTGCCCCCACAACTCCTGGTGGCTGAAGGCTTGGGACAGGTGACCGCCATCGTGGGCCAGCCCCTGGAGCTTCCCTGCCAGGCCTCAGGCTCCCCAGTACCCACTATCCAGTGAGTCTGGGGCGGTGGAGGCCAGGGCTGGGGTGGGCAGGGAGCATGTGCTTTGGGGTCATGGGGGGAAGTGGACAAGAGAGAGGCTTCCTGTTTCCAGGAGCAGGAAAGAGGCCTGGAGCTGCGGCTGGTGAGAGCAGGTGGGAGGCGCTTCTAGGCTTCCAGCTTGTCCTGCCTGGCTGGGCCTTCCCTGGCCTCAGGTTGACCCGCCCCCCTCCCTACTCACCTTAGGTGGCTGCAGAATGGCCGCCCAGCGGAGGAGCTGGCCGGGGTGCAGGTGGCCTCTCAGGGTACCACACTGCGCATTGACCATGTGGGGCTGGAACACTCGGGCCTCTTTGCCTGTCAGGCCACCAACGAGGCAGGCACTGCCGGGGCTGAGGTGGACGTGTCTGTGCATGGTGAGTGGGCACCTGCGGCTCTGGGGCTGTGGGCAGCCTGAGATGCCAGGGGTGGGTGGAGCCAGAGGGCTGTGGCAGGCTTGGAAGGGCATGGGGCTGGTCTTCTCTGGATGGCATTTCTGGGCTGGACTTCCCAGTTCCCCACAGAGACGCAGTGCAGGTGTGAGAGGCTGGCCTGGGCCATGTATCACACCCCTGTCCCATCCAGTCCCTCGGCCTGACTCCGCTCCCCAGCTTCCTCTCTCTCCATCTGCTCTCTTTATGTAACCACACAGAACTTCACCCAGTTCCTTTACTACATCAACCCTCTTTCTCTCACCTTCCAGTCTGCATACGCTGTTCCTTCTATCTGCAACATTCTCCCTCCTCTTTGCCTGCCTAGCTCCTCCTTATCTTTCAGGCATATCCTGAAATACTCTTCCTCCAGGAAGCCTTCTTTGATTCTACCGTGTTTCTCATCTGCACTGCCCAGCCTCTCAATGCCTTAGCCCTCCACCCACTGCATTGGGATTGCGTATTTGGTTGTCCACCTCCACTGTCCACCTCTGTGAGCTTTGAGAGGACAGCATGGCAGCTGCCTTTCCCTGCTGTGTCCAGGGGCCCAGTCTAGTTCTGAGCACAGAGTAGATGCTCAGCACACTTAAGGATGCATGGGTAGATCAGTGGATGGATAGGTGGATGGGTGGGTAGATGAATGAGTAGACAGAAGTGTGGATGGATGGATGGATGGATGGATGGATGGGTGGGTGGGTGGATGGAAAGGTGGATGGATGGAAGGGGGGGGTAGATAAAAGGGTGCATGTATGGGGAAATGGATGGATGGGTGGGTGGGTGGATGGAAGGTACGTGGATGGATGGAAGGGGAAGTAGATGGATAATGGGTGGGTGGATGGATGGATAGATGGGTGGGTGGATGAATGGGTGGATGGGTGGATAAGTGGATAGGTGGGTAGATGGATGAGTGGATGGATGGAAGGTAGGTGGATGGATGGAAGGGGGGGTAGATGGATGAATGCGTGGGTGGATGGGTGGATGACTGGTTGGATGGAAGGGTGGGTGGATGGATGAGTGGATAGCTGGGTGGATGGATGAGTGGATAGTTGGGTGGATGGATAAGTGGATAGGTGGGTGAATGGATGGATGAGTGGATGGATGGAAGGTGGGTAGATGAATGAATGGCTGGGTGAGTGCATGCATGAATGGATTGTTGGATGGGTGGGTGGATGGCTGGCTGGCTGTATTGGTAGATGGTGGATGTGTGGATGGACAGATGGATAGATGGATGAATAAATACATGTATAGATACACAGGTGCATAGATGGATGGGAGAATTTTTAAAGGGAATAACCACTCTGCTGGCTTGTCAGGAGCTCTTTCCCCTAAGCCACGTGTCTGGGAGATATGGTGGGCAGAATCTAGATGCCAGCCTTTGGCCAGCCCTTCAAGGCCACCTTCTCACCCCCAGGTATGAAGGGGGTTGCTGGATGCCCCCCTAGCCCTCCTGATTCTGACCCAGGCTTTTCCTGACTGTTTCCCTTCTCAGAATTCCCATCAGTCAATATAATTGGGGGCGAGAACATCACAGCTCCTTTCCTGCAGCCTGTGACCCTCCAATGCATAGGGGATGGGGTGCCTACCCCAAGCATCCGTTGGTGGAAGGATGGTGTAGCCCTGGCAGCCTCTGGGGGGAACCTACAGGTACGTGCAGGTGCCCCAGGGCTGGCGGGCCTGCTGGGCACAGGTGGAGGGGCTGCCTGGGGGCCTCTTGGAGACTCTGAGCAAAGCCCAGCAGCCTGGGAGTAGGACGAGCCCAGAGCCCTCTCAGTCTGAAAGGACAGGCCTCGGCCTCTTCCGGGTCCTAGGAGCTTCAGTTGTCAGAGGGAGAAAATGTTGATGGGGATGGGGAACGGTACGCCTGAAGATCTGAGGAATCCCTGGAATCCAAGTGCTTGGCTCAAAACTCTACCCCAGAGCCAAAAGTGTCCCCATGCCTCACTACCCCTGCCCCTGGGCTCAGCAGAGGCCTGGCCACTCGCTATGTCCCGTCGTCACCCTGACTTCCCTTCTGTCTGGGCTCTGTGGTTTCACCACATACACAGCCCCGTGGCACACGCTCTGCCCTCTCCCCTCCAGATTGAGAAGGTGGACCTGAGGGATGAGGGCATCTACACTTGTGCCGCTACTAACTTGGCCGGGGAAAGCAAGAGGGAAGTGGCGCTGAAGGTTTTGGGTGAGGATGTGGGTGCCAGCAGGGCCCAGGCCGGGGATGTTGGGTGACCCCTCGAGGGCCCTTGGGGCTGGGGTGTGTGGCTAGGGAGGTGGGGGAGGTTTTTAAATCATAGCTGTGTCCTTCACTTCAGAAGAGGTAGAAAGCCGTAAAATGAAAGCATTAGCAAAAGCTCTGTAGTCCCTTTTGGCTGCTTTTTATTTATTTATTTTATTTATTTTTAAAGACAGGGTTTCACCATGTTGGTCAGGCTGGTCTTGAACTCCCGACCTCAGGTGATCCGCCCGCCTTGGCCTCCAAAGTGCTTGGATTACAGGCGTGAGCCACCGCGCCCGGCCTTTTGGCTGCTTTTGAGGGATTTTCAGTAGCAGACCTTGTCCACGTTCATACTCACCTTTGTTTATTTGCAGGGAAATCCCTGTCCTCGTCTCTTCCCTGGCTATGTTGGCTGTCGGCTGTCCCAGGGTGGGGCTGGGTGCTGGTGTGGTCCTTGTATAATTGCTGTAAGGATGGGGGCCTGTTGCTCTTTGTTCTTGGGTTTGGTTCCAGGAGTGGGGTTCCTTAGTCTGAGGACATGAGCGGTTTTAGAGCCATGGTTGTCTAGGACTTTCTGAGGGGAGCAGGGAGCAGCACTGGGAATGGCTGTGATTCGAGCTGCCTAGAGCTGGCCCCTACCAGGCTGGGCCTCTCCTTGTCTCCCCTTAGTGCCCCCCAACATCGAGCCAGGCCCCATCAACAAGGCAGTGCTGGAAAATGCCTCAGTGACCTTGGAGTGTCTGGCTTCGGGCGTGCCCCCTCCCGGTAAGACCCCTCCTCTTGGCTGAAAGCTACTTCCAGCCCAATTCATCATCCAATGAAGCTGGCGAGTGACCCAGGGACCCTCTGACCGTATGTAATGGCGAGAAATCAGCAGGTCTGCACCCCGTCATTTCTCTCATTTTCCTCTCTTCCTCCTCAATGATGTCCTTCACACCGAGGCACTGCCAGGGTCCAGACCCCGGAGTCTGAAACAGGCCTGCTGGGCGTCTACTCACAGTAAACTTCACAGGGCTGTCTGGGGCTGGGGGTGAGGATCAGGACCTCAGAGTCACCATCCGGCCTGTAGGAGCCCCCCTCTATACCAGCAGTTGAGGAAAGGGCTGGGCGCTTGGGGCTGGGTGTGGGTGTTTGCATAGAGGACTGGGAGAGGCTTACGGTGGCCCAGGAGGAAGGCGCCTCTCCTGCTCCCATCTGAACTAGACCCACCCTGCTTCGCCTGGAGCCTGTGAGCCCTGGGGATATTTGCCCCCTCTCGTGGGGACCCCTGCTGAGTTCCAGGGGGCAGCCTGGCAGGAGGCAGGGAAGCTGCAGACACATGCGGTCCAGCCTAGCTTTGAGGCTGCTGCTTTGGGCTGGTCGGTGTTCTCTAATGTCCCCTAGGTGAGGGGGTCACCAGGTAGGCGGAGGCAGGGCTGAGTTTGACTCTCCCTACTCCTGGCTGCCTCAGCCTCTGCCCATGGGGCCTCTTCTCCGCCCTTGGTCTTGTCTTGGGCGACATTGCCCAGTTCTACCCCGGCTCCTGTTCCTGAATGAAGAACTCTGGCCTTCTCCAGGACCTGGAAAAAACGGCGTGGCCACCCTGGAAGGTTCTCTTGGGTCCCACCAGCCAGCAGAGTCTGAAGGGCTGACAGCACTCTTGCATCTCTCTTCCATTCCCCAGATGTCTCCTGGTTCAAGGGCCGCCAACCTGTCTCTTCCCGGGTGGGAGTGACAGTATCAGCGGATGGGAGAGTTCTCCGCATTGAGCAAGCCCAGCTTTCTGATGCTGGGAGCTACCGCTGTGTGGCATCCAATGTGGCAGGTAGCACAGAGCTGCAGTATGGCCTACGGGTCCATGGTGAGCTTCCCTGGGCCTACGAGGGCCCTTGTCCAAAAAGTTGTCTTTTCATCCATTTGTCTATTAGTCTGTCCATCCACCTGTCCACCCACCCAGCCACCCATCCATCCATCCACCTCCCCATCCATCCATCCACCTCCCCATCCATCCACCTCCCCATCCATCCACCCATCCATTTATCCATCCATCCATCTATATATCCATCCACCCATCCATTTATCCGTTCATCCACCCATCCATCCATCCATCCGTTTAGCCATCCAACCATCTGTTCATTTATTTATCTACCCAACTGTCTGTCTACCCACCCATCCACCTGTCCATTTGTTTACCTGTCTACCCACCCATCCATCCATCTACCTACCCATCCACACATTCACCATCCACTCATCTAGTCAACTACCCATTCTTCCATTGATCCATTTTCTATCCAACCATATTTATTAGTTTCATGCTCTGGGGCAGATGCTGGACCTACAGCCCTAAATAAGACCTAGGAGCTTTCAGTCTAGTGGAGGACACAGCAATGACATCATTTCCCAGAGGACCGCTTGATGTCAATTGTGATAGCAGCTGGGAAACATGAGGTGCACCTGAGCATCTATGACAGGGCTCTGACCTGGCCTGTGGAGTCCAGGAGGCATCTTTGACACCTGGATACCTAAACTGAAGCCTCTGCCAAGGCCTGAGGTTGCAAAGACCTGGGGAGTTCGAGACACTGAAAGGAGGCCACAGGGCCTGGGGTTTGTAACACCGAGAAGAGGGCTGGGGTGGTGCTGGTGGCCATATGGAGGCTGCACCTGTCAGGTCTCATGGGCCATGGAGAGGTTGGGTCTAAGGGCAGTGGGTAGCTGGGCAGGGGCCTAGGACCCTGGGCATCATGGCCGGTGCCTCCCAGATACAAGGGAATCTTCTGGCTATTTTCTGCCCAATGGGGACTGCCTGTAAGATGGCGTTTCATCTCACACCCCTGAGTTAGGAAGTGGCCCTGTCCAGGGACCCTTGGTCCCTCCCCGTCCCCATGATAAATGACCTTCTGCTGACCAGAGGCCTGAGTGTGAGTGCTGCGTCCTAGCTGGTTGGCCTTGGGCAGGCGACCTCCCCTCTGAGCCTCAGCTTCCCATCCATAGAAGCCTTGTGGTGGCGTTGAAAGGAAGGAGTGAGCAGCCTCAGGCGCGGTGAAGTGGCTCAGGGCTTGTGTCCGATGGCTGTCTTTGTGCTTTTGCTGTGGCCGTGTGCTCCTGCAGGGGTGCCCAGTGAGGGGCCCTGCCTGCTTTGCCCCAGTGGGGCTCAGCCTGTGCCCCATATCACCCCTGCCCTGCAGTGCCCCCTCGAATCACACTGCCGCCCAGCCTGCCAGGCCCTGTGTTGGTCAACACCCCTGTCCGGCTGACCTGCAATGCCACTGGCACCCCGGGCCCCACACTGATGTGGCTGAAGGATGGAAACCCCGTGTCCCCTGCAGGGACCCCTGGCCTGCAGGTCAGTAGGGCTGGATGGCCCAGCTCAGCTTCCTGCACCTCCTGTAGGTGCGGGAAACAGAGGTCAGGCCCTGGGAGCTTAGGGTGAGGGAGAAGCGGCAGTAGCCCAGGGCAGAGCCCTGGAGGGTGGAGGGCGGAGGGCGGAGGGCAGAGCGCTGGAGGGTGGAGGGTGGAGGGCGGAGGGCGGAGGGCAGAGCGCTGGAGGGTGGAGGGCGGAGGGCGGAGGGCAGAGCGCTGGAGGGTGGAGGGCGGAGGGCGGAGGGCAGAGCGCTGGAGGCTGGAGGGCGGAGGGCGGAGGGCGGAGGGCAGAGCGCTGGAGGTTGGAGGGGCTGAACAGAGAGGCTAGAGCCCCGCTACCCAACGGTAACCGTGAATGTGAACCATCTCTGGAATTGTAAATGTTCTTGTAGCCACAGTAAACTGAGTAAAAAGAAACAGGTGAGATCAATTTTAATAATACATGTTAATCCAATAGATCCAAAATAGCTTCATTTCATCATGAGATCAATAAAAAAAAATATAGAGATATTGCTTATTCTTCTCTGCATATTAACTCTTTGAAGTCTGTGGTGTATTTTGTGCCTGGTGCCCCAGTCAATTCGGCCCGGCCACATTTCAAGGGCTCACTGGCCATGGGTGGCGCGTGAACAGAGGGGCGCTAAAGGACTCATCCTGAGGACCAATGTCAGTGCCCACCAGCTGGCAGAGGTCCGGAGGCCCAGCTGCAGCTCTGGGTTTCCCTGCGTCTTGAGGGGCCCTGAGGGTCAGGGCAGGCCGTCCAGGCATGCTTGGCAGCTGGGACAGCTTGTGCTGGTGACGTTCTGCCCCTTGGGGTGCGACAGCAGGACAGTTGCCTAATTTGGGCTTCCCCCTGGGGTCACAGGTCTTCCCTGGGGGCCGGGTCCTCACCTTGGCCAGCGCCCGGGCCTCCGACTCTGGGAGGTACTCCTGCGTGGCTGTGAGCACAGTGGGCGAAGACCACCGCGATGTCGTCCTTCAGGTCCACAGTGAGTCTCAGACTGGGAACGCCACGTGGTTCACGGCAGCAACTCCAAGCAGGTGGTGTGGGGGCACCCCCAGTCACATCCAAAGGGAAAGAGGGTGGGTGGATGGAGGAACGCCCACCCGAGAGCGGCCGCCTTCCAGTAGGGATCGAGAACCTCCGGAGACCTGCCCTGGAGTGTGAGCTCCCCCATTGGGTGGGACGGTGGGCAGATGCCGCACATGGCCAGGACCTCTGCCTCACGTTCAGGGAGAGGCGGAAGGGGTGTGAAGGAGCAGGAGCAGTGTGGAGTGGTGGCTGGGAAAGCTGGTTCTTGAGTGTCACTGATATGGGGTTCAAACCCTGCCTCTGTGATTTTGAGCTGATCACTTTGCTTCTCTGAGCCAACATTTCTTCATCTGTGAAATGGAAAGGATAGGGTTCACCTCATTGTTCACCATGGGGACTCACTAAGCTCGTGAGCTCACGAAGCTGCTGTAACCACAGTAGCTTATGTTTAAATGTCCTCATCTGGGTTTTTCCGGGGCTCTGTGGAGGTATAAGAAAGAATGCTGGGAGCCGGGGGCAGTGGCTTATGCCTGTAATCCCAGCACTTTGGGAGGCCGAGGTGGGTGGATCACTTGCGGTCAGGAGTTCGAGACCAGCCTGGCCAATGTGGTGAAAGTCTCTCTCTACCAAAAACACAAAAAATTAGCTGGGTGTCGTGGCGCATGCCTGTGATCCCAGCTACTCGGGAGGCTGAGGCAGGAGAATCTCTTGAACCCAGGAGGTGGAGGTTGCAGTGAGCTGAGATCGTGGTCACTGCACTCCAGCATGGGCAACAGAGCAAGACTCTGTCTCAAAAACAACAACAAAAAGAACGAATGTAGTCTTGGGTGGGAGGTGGGAGGAAGTGTTCGATTCTAGCTCTTTCTCTTTGCTGGAATGAAGATGGTGGTTAACATGTTGTGAGCCTAAGAGCCCCACCTGTGCCATTGGATTGAACCTCGTGGCAGCCCCACCAGGTGGGGATTTTCCTGATGCCCACTTTACAGATGAGGAGACTGAGGCCCAGGAGTGTGAGTAGCAACCCCAGGGCCTTGCATGGTGAGCACGCGCTGGAAGGCAAGATCCCGCCCCAGGAGCTCTCACCCTGGCCCTGTACTCCTTCCTGCAACTCTGCACTGACTTTTTTTATCTCAGGGGCAAAAGGCAGATCTGAGACATGCTTTAAAAAATTTTTTTAAACATTTTAAATTTTAGAAAGTGTTGAAACCGCTGTGGATAACTGTAGATTCACAGATATCTGTAAGAGCTAACAGGGAGGCCCCGAATTCCCTTCCCATTTCCCTCCATGGAATCTGGGACGCAGACATCACACTCCACCTGTCTCACCCAGACTGGCTCCTTCGAAGCAGGACTGAAGCCAGAGGAAGTGTGGTCACCCCTGGCTGCTAGGAGCAGCTGGGCTTGACCCAGGGCACGGCCCCTCCTTGCCGGCCCCACCCATGCGCCTGAGGGAGCCCCTCTCCTGCCCCTCCCGCAGTGCCCCCGAGTATCCTCGGAGAAGAGCTGAATGTGTCCGTCGTTGCCAATGAATCCGTGGCCCTGGAGTGCCAGAGTCACGCCCTGCCCCCACCCGTGCTGAGCTGGTGGAAGGATGGGCGGCCCCTGGAACCACGGCCTGGAGTCCACCTCTCCACAGACAAAGCCTTGCTACAGGTGTGCAGCTGCCGGGCCAGCCAACTAGGCCTCCACCTTGGGCCATGGGCAGGACGGGGCCTGCGGGTGCTCCAGCTCAGTGACCTACAAGCCCCCTCCCTGCCAGGGAATGGGGTACAAAACTCCAGGACTGGGTCCTCAGGGCCTCCATCAGGGCCCCTGATGCGGCTGAATGGCACCAGCTGTTGGGTTAAAACCTTCCTCACCTGTCTGCTCCTCTTCCTCCTCCCACCCCTCTACACCTTGTGATATGATCATTCCCAACTCAGAGCACTGCCATTTGGTTTCCCCTCCTTTCCATTCATTCTTCAAAGCCACAGCCTAGCCCCAGCATCCCCATGTCAGGATCTGACCCCGGAGGACAGGTCCCTGCACCCCACCAGCCCTATTCCTCCACCTTCTCTTTGGGTCTGTTTCCTTGGTTCCAAGGAGGCTGGGAGCAGATGACAAGACAGGAGCAGGTCTGATCCAGTCACATGCCTCCCACTTAGCAAGTCTGGGCCATGGCTGTGAAGGTGGGAAGGCTGGCAGGGCTGCCACGAGGGGTCCTTCTCAGGCCCACCTCAGGTACTGGCTCCTGGAAACTTCCCAGTGCAGCTGGGAGGAAGATGCTGTCACTGCCCTGTGCTCCATGTGGGGAGGTTGGGGCTCAGCAAAGTCACATGACTTGCCTGTGGTCACACAGCCTGTCCAGGGGTCACCCATCTCTGTGCTGTCCCGCCCATGGGGTGTCTTTGCTCTCGGCCAGGTGGACAGAGCCAACATGTGGGATGCAGGCCGCTACACCTGCGAGGCACTGAACCAGGCCGGCCACTCAGAGAAACACTACAATCTGAACGTCTGGGGTGAGGGGCTCCCGGGCCTGGCAGGGGGAGGGGCTGTTGACTTGATGGGGTCCCAGGACACAGCCCTCCTCCAGCCCGCCCGCCTCGCTCATCCCCTCCCCATCTCAGCCCCACCCCCACTCACCCTCTCTCTGCTCTGACTCAGTTGCTCCAGTGTTCCCCTCAAGGGAATCCCACACCCTGACCGTGAGCGAGGGGCACCCCACCAGGCTGTCCTGCGAATGCCGGGGCGTCCCCTTCCCCAAGATCTCCTGGAGGAAAGACGGTAGGATTGCTACCCTCTCCCAGCTCCACCTCATTGCCAGGACAAGGAGGCTGTGCCCAGCCCCCACTGTGTACCCCCACGCCAGAGCCTACCTGTGATGGATGGGCTTATGCCTCTAGAAGGTGTGGATGACACTTCCTCCAGCCCCTCTCTGCTCAGTCCCTGAGCCTGCAGGAGCCCCTGGTCCCATCCTGCCCTACCAGTAAGAGCTGGATTGACCTTCAGGCCTCACATCAGATGTCCCTTCTTCCAGGAAGCCCTCCGTGACTGCCAGGCTGGGGCAGAGCCTCCCCAATGCAGTCCCTGTCACTTGTCATGTCACTCACATTAGTGCTTCTGTGTCTGCTCCTCCATGAGTCTGTGACCCCTGTGAGGCACCACCCTGACCACTGCTGAATTCCAAGTTCAGTGTATAGTACAAAAAAGGTGCTCAAAAAACATTTGGAATTCACTTTACCTTTGTTTCTTTTTTTTTTTTTTTTTTTTTTTTTTTTTTTTTTTGTTTTTTTTTTTTTTTTTTTTTTTTTTTTTTTGAGACAGAGTCTTGCTCTGTTACCCAGGCAAGAGTGCAATGGCACGATCTCAGCTCACTGCAGCCTCCACTTCCTGGGTTGAAGTGATACTCCTGCCTTAGCCTCCCGAGTAGCTGGGATTACAGGCAGGTGCCACCATGCCCAGCTAATTTTTGTATTTCTAGTAGAGACAGGGTTTCACCATGTTGTTCAGGCTGGTCGTGAACTCCTGACCTCAGGTGATCTGCCTGCCTCGGCCTCCCAAAGTGCTGGGATTACAGGCATGAGCCACTGCACGCAGCCCATTTAATGCATATGTTTTGAGAGACTGTGCCAGGCCCTGTTCTAGGCACTGGAAATACAGCAGAGGATAACACAGATCCCCACACTCACAGCGGGGGCTGTCAGGTAATAAACACACAGTAAATGACTCCATACCTTAGGTGATAAATGCTGTGGAGAAAAATAAAGCCCAGAAGTAGGGGAGATGTCCCGAGGGGTAGTAGGATTTGCAGTTTTAAGTTGGGTGGCCCAGGAATGCTTGACCAAGCAGACTTGGAAAGGAAAGAGATGAGCATGAGAATATCGCAGGGAAACATGTCTCAGGCAGAGGCAAGGGTAAGTCCAAGGGTCCTAGGGCAGGAATGCTGGTTGGATGGGGGAATGAGAGGAAGCAGGGAATCGGGGATGATGGGGGAGCGTGGAGCGGCCATTACCAGGATGGGAGACCCCAGGGGAAGGTGTGGTGGAAAGACCTCGCGTTTGGGGTGAATTAATCTTGAGACATCTGCTAAACGCCTGGTAAGGGGTCAAGTGGACGGCGAGAGACAGGTGTCTGGAGCTCAGAGGAGAGGTTTGGGCTAGGAAGCAGCCTGGGAGTAGTGAGACAAGCTGAGGTCAGCAGGACAGAGGGAGGACGCACCAGCAGGAGGCCACTGGGTCTCCTTCCCCGTTCGGACATGCGTTGAGTCGTGACCCAGCGTCCGGGGTTGCTCCTCTAGAAACACAGGTAGAAATGCTTAATCCAGTCGGTCGAGGCTGACACACCCTCCTCCCCCGAGGGGTCCCCCGACTGCCTGGTCAGCCTCCTCAGGCCGCTGCAGAGGGTCATTCTGTCAGTAGCCTTTTGAGCCCTGCTGTGTGCCTGGCCCTGGGGAACCACTAAGAACCCCGGGAGGGAGGCTGGGTGTGGGGGCTCACGCCTGTAATCCCAGCACTCTGGGAGGCCGAGGTGGTGGATCACCTGAGGTCAGGAGTTCGAGACAGCCTGGCCAACATTGCGAAATCCCATCTCTACTAAAAACACAAAAGTTAGCCAGGCGTGGTGGTGCACACCTGTAATCCCAGTTACTCGGGAGACTGAGGCATGAGGATCGCTTGAACCCAGGAGGTGGAGGCTGCGAGATTGCACCTCTGCACTCCAGCCTGGGTAACAGAATGAGACTGTCTCCCAAAAAAAAAAAAAAAGGATCCCAGGAGGAAATTGAGGCAGGGTCTGCCATTCTGGAGGGCCCAGGCCAGGGTAGGATTTAGATGTGGCATCTGTAGGCAGATCTGTGATGGGGAGAAGCCTGGAGGATAGGGAGGAGCTCAGAGGAGGCACCAGGACCACATGTGGCACTCACAGAAGGCTTCCTGGAAGAGGCAGTGTCTAAATGGACACCTGAAGGATGAGCAGGAGTTGGCCAGAATGGGTGGGAGGACAAACTTTCCAGGTAGAAAGACATCACATCCTTGCAGACGCCTTGGACCAGGAGTTTCTTTTTTACTGCACCCAGGTAAACCCCTGCCCGGGGAGGGGGCTGGCCTCCAGCAGGTGTCGGCTGTGGGGAGGCTGCTGTACCTGGGACAGGCCCAGCTGGCTCAGGAGGGAACATACACCTGTGAGTGCAGCAACGTGGCGGGGAACAGCAGCCAGGACCAGCAGCTGGAGGTGCACGGTGGGTGAGCCAGGCAGGGCTGGAAGGGTCTGGGATCACGGGCTGGCTGGGCAGACGCCGCCCCCAAATCGGAGCAAATACAGGGAAGTGATGGCGTGTGGTGCGGGTTTTCTCCTCCCTCAGATTCCTGGGGTGTGAGTCCGTTCTCACACTACTCTAAAGCTACTTCCTGAGACTGGGTAACTTATAAACAAGAGGCTTAATTGACTCACTGTTCTGCATGGCTAGGGAGGCCTCAGGAAACTTACAATCATGGCGGAGGGTGAAGGGGAAGCAAGGCATGTCTTGCATGGCGGCAGGAGAGAGGGTGAGAAGGGGGAAGTGCCAGACACTTATCACACAGCCAGATCTCACGAGAACTAACTCCCGGTCACGAGAACAGCATGGGGGAGCCGCCCCCGTGATACAATCACCTCCCATCAGGTCCCTCCCTCCACACGTGGGGATTACAATTTGAGATGAGATTTGGGTGGGGACACAGCCAGACCGTATCAGCTGGCATTTTAACTGCCCCGCCCACACAACTTCTCACTAACCCAAGCATAGGATGGCAGGCAGCATGGTCCCTAAGGACCCCCAATGGTCCAGAGGAGGAAAACCACATCTGAAAGAGCTGGAAACCCGAAAGAATTGTAAGCGTTATGTGAGGCTCCTATATATGGTGGAAACCTAAAGCCCTATCTACTTGTCCTGTAGTGATGAAATGAAACCCCTCAGCTTTGTAAAAATCCTGCTAGAAAATAAACCCAGGGAAAGTTCTGTTCAATCTGTTGAGGAGAAACCCACCCATACGGTAATTTTCCACCCCAGCCAGTCCCAGCAGCTGTTGAAGCTCCAGAAGTCTCTGGTTTTTGAGGAAGAAAACCCCTCACACCTCCTGAAAGGGCTGTGTTGTGAGCTTGTTCCCCAAACGGCAGGCCTGCCTGTGAGTCCCAGGCTGTGGCGGTAGGGTGCAGTTATGACCCCATTGTTGGGAAGAATGGAGGTCCAGAGAGGTGAGATCACAAGGTCACACAGGCAGCGATGGCAAGGGGAGAGGATGTGTCCCTGTGGGGCTCAGGGCAAGTGTGTGGTGCCTGGTGGCCCCAGCAGCTTTCTCTGATGGGCTTTCTCCCCACCCCAGTTCTCCCTCAGATTTCTGGTCCCCGAGAGCCCCACACACAGGTCTCCGTGGTCCAGGAAGGAGTGGCCACTCTGGAGTGCAACGCCACAGGGAAACCCCCTCCGACAGTGACGTGGCAGCGGGACGGGCAGCCCTTGGGGGCTGAGCCGGGCCTGCAGCTGCAGAACCACGGTCAGAGCCTGCGTGTGGAGCGGGCCCGGGCTGCCCACGCCGGACACTACAGCTGCGTGGCCGAGAACGTGGCTGGGAGGGCAGAGAGGAGGTTTGAGCTCTCCGTGCTGGGTGAGGACTGGCAGCTGCTGGAGGAGGCTGGGCTGCGGCGGATTAGTGAGGGCAAGGCCAGTTCAATCTCCAGACACAGCCCTCAGGCTGTGCTCTTGGGGTCACACCTGTTCTTTCTGCAGTCAGGGCTCTACTGAGAACTGCTGTTGGGGGAAGCCATCGACACTGCTCTCTGAATCACAACAGGTCGCAGATGGCCCCAGTTTCCCCCCGTTCACCGCTCTTCCCTCCCTCTCGTGTTTATCCTCTCCTGCTCTGTTCTGGGCACCGGGGAAGTATTCAGTCCCTGTCCTGCATGACTGGCGTGTGATGGGGAGAAATCAGGGGCTCGCGAGACCAGGAAAACCTTGAATAGTGTTGGGACAGGTCAGGGCAGCCTCCCAGAGGAAGTGCCCTTTAAGCTGGACCATAAAGGGTGAGTAGGAGTTAGGCAGCTGCTGGATGAGGGGAAGCGTGTGGCTGGAGCAGCCTCATGCATTCCAGTCATTTACTGAGCTCCTACTGTATGCCCGAAGGATAATTCAGGGTAGACACAGGGAGTGGTGAGAGATAGGGCGGGAGAGGTGGGCAGAGTTCGGTTTAGGGAGGAGCCCCCATCACCCCCTTCACCGCTGCTGGGATCTCCAGCCTCACCCAGGTACCCCCAACACCCCATCCCCCCGGGTAGAGAGTGCTTCCTTCAGGAACAGCCGCCTTGAGAACTGCAGTGTTGCCGCTTAGCTTCCATGTGTGGGTTTAGGAAGCACGTCCCGCCTCACCTTTGCACTAATTCCAGTCCCACTGACTCTGCACTGTTTCTGCCCAGACCCTGGACTAGGCACTTTCACGTGTTCCTATTGGATCCTCTAGCATCCCGCTGACGGCTTGGGGAGACTGAGGCCCAGGGAGTCTGCCTGACTCCAGAGCTCGGCCTGTAGCGCCACTGGCTCCCTTCTCCGTGTCCTTGTTCCAGGGGGGCAGCTCTGCTCTCATCACTCAGACTCTCCCAACTGGATGGAGTTGGGAGCCAGTCAGTGGGGCTGGGTGGAGTTGGGGGCCAGTCAGTGGGGCTGGGTGGAGTTGGAGGCCAGTCAGTGGGGCTGGGTGGAGTTGGGGGGCAGTCAGTGGGGCTGGGNGGGGCTGGGTGGAGTTGGGGGGCAGGCAGTTGGTGGGGAAGGAGCATGAAGCACACAGCCCCGATCTGCACCCTGAATGCGGCTTCTGTGTGTCCAGTGCCCCCAGAGCTCATCGGAGACTTGGACCCGCTGACCAACATCACTGCTACCTTGCACAGCCCCCTAACTCTGCTCTGTGAAGCCGCAGGGATCCCACCCCCGGCCATCCGCTGGTTCCGAGGGGAGGAGCCTGTCAGCCCTGGGGAGGACACCTACCTGCTGGCAGGTAAGAGAGCAGCCAAGGTTGGATCCCGGGAATCAGCTCGGGCCTTCTGCCTGTGCCTCGGCCCATTACATGCCCACGACCTCTGACCCTGAGCTGCCAGGCCTGTTTAGAATAATCATTCCAGTTGCTGGTCCCCAAAGAGTACAGCCCAAAACGCTAGTCAGGTGAGGTGCTCCAGGAAAAAAATCATGGATTTAGATGCATTTGGAAAAGCCTTCCTGCTCTGCTCACCTAGAGAACCACAGTAAACATTTGTATAGTAAAGGTTCTGATAAGTACTACAGCAAAAAGAAGAAAAAAAATCTTTTGGCACTTAACATGTAACATCCCACAGAGCAGTAACAAGCTTTATGGATGTGATGATCTAAGCACCTTCTCCTCTGAACATTCATCCTCCTCATAAAATGGGTTTGTGAGGTTCTTGCTGGTGTACGAACGAGGAACCAAGGCCCAGGAATCTCTGTCCCATCCAAATCCTGCAAGGATTTCCAGGCCCCCTGAGGCTACACCTCAGTCACCCATTGGTTCCAAGCAGCCCATCATGAGATGGCAAATACATTTCCTCCCGCGCCTCACTTCTGAGCACTTGGTAGGAATTGCCAGATGCATTCTGTGGATAGGAATTCGGAGACTGCATTGGGCCCATTGGAAAGGAATGTGGCGATCAATTAGTGATGTCTGCTCTGGGTGCGGTAACAGCAGTGGTGGTCTGCATCCTGTGTATCTGCCCTTCCCCACACCCGTCTTGGGAGACCCTTGGGCTCCTCTGAGAGGAGCTGTCCCTCCCTGAGAGGTCCTTGGGAGGGGGAGGCCTTTTACCGTGTCTGTCAGAGTAGAGCAGAGGTCTGCATCGGGCCAGGACTTCTTAACCCCTTGCTTTCCCTTCAGCTGCAGCCAAACCCCAGAGCCAGGGGTGGCCAGGGTGACAGAGACTTCTTGCTGGAACAGGGTCCTCAGATTTATTCTGATACGTGTCTAATCTCCAGGTGGCTGCATCCATTTGTTTTACCCTCCTGGGCCTCAGTTTCTGCATCTGAGGAACGGGACACAATGGGAAACAGATACATACATGTCTAGTTATAATGCCTCTTCCTGCTGGGCAGCAGAGGGGCTCAGTTTGGGACAGAATGCTGCTCAGAGCCATGCTTGGGGCCCACGCCCCTCCCTCCCCAGGTGGCTGGATGCTGAAGATGACTCAGACACAGGAGCAAAACAGAGGCCTCTACTCATGCCTGGCAAGCAACGAGGCTGGGGAGGTGCGGAGGAACTTCAGCGTGGAGGTGCTGGGTGTGTTGCAACCCCGTTCTCATGGGTGCCCTATGAACCCTTTTCCACTGCCTGGGAGCTCCCAGAGGCAGGGTCCCAGACTCACAGGTCAGGCTGTAGCAGGGGCCCAGCACAGAGAAAGAGGGAGAAGCTAAGCCTCGTATGCTGTGCCTCATCAAAAACCTTTGTTCAAGCCTGGGCAACATGGCAAGACCCCACCTCTATGAAATATACAAAAATTAACTGGGCGTGGTGGTACCTGCTTGTAGTCTCAGCTACTCGGGGGGCAGAGGCTACAGTGATTGTGCCACTGCATTCCAGCCTAGATGAAACCCCTGTTCTGAGGCTGCCATGGAACTTTCCAGAAACAGCAGGGACAATCCAAAGTGGAAGGGGGCATATATTTCCAACACCACTAAGACTGCCTGCCTCTCATCAGAGTCTTCTCCTGAGGCACTGGCATTTCCATCAGCCAGCAGGAAATGTTTCTTAAATTCACCACCCTATAGAAACAGGCATGGGGTGGGGAAACTAAGGCACAGGAAACAGTGGGCTCTTGGCTTCCTGTTCTGTGATTCTGTAGCCTGAGTGGGCCAGACCCCCCAGTCACTAGCCATCTGTCTCCCTGCTTCTCTCAGTTCCTCCCAGTATTGAGAACGAGGACCTGGAGGAGGTGATCAAGGTCCCTGAGGGACAGACTGCCCACCTGACATGCAACGTCACAGGTAAGGGCCACACGATGTAGTGGGCTGGGAAAAGGGGTGGGAAGGCAGCTTCAGAAAGGAGGGGACCCCTGGGGATCTGCCTACCTGCCTCAGCCCCACTCCTCCTGACTGGGAGTCTCTCTATGTTGGACTCAGCACCAGGTCCTGGCTCATCTTTGCACGTGTTCTTCCATCCCAAACACTCTTCCCTCTCCCCACCCCACTATAATCTCAGCTTCCAGGATCCTCCACAGGAAGTCCTTGGCTGGCCCCTGAGGCCCATTGGGCCACCTCCATTGGGTTCTCAGAAGTCCCAGTGCTTCCCTGTTCTAGCACTGACCACACAGGACCATAGTGGCCTTGTGGCATCTGAGCTTCTTAAAGACCCAGGGGCTGCCTTGTCACCACAGTTTCCCCAGTGTCTGGCAGAGTAGGCTCCCATTAATGCTATAGGTTGAAGGATGGGTGGATGGATGGATGGATGGATGGAGGTTGGATGGATGGATAGGTGGGTGGGTAGATAAATGAATGGGTGGATGAATGAATGAATGGGCAGACAGATGGGTGGATGGGTGCCTGGATAGATGAATGGATGGATGGATGGATGGATGGATGAGTGGGTGGATGGATAGAGAGATGGGTGGATGATTGGGTGAATGAAAGGATATGTCGGTAGGTAGATGAATGGATGATTGGATGGGTGGGTGGATGGGCAGGTGAATGGGTATGTGGATGAATGGAGAAATGAATGGATGATTGAATGGAAGGATAGGTGGGTAGGTAGATGAATGGATGGTTGTATGGTTGGGTGGATGGGTGGACAGATGGGTGGGTGGATGAATGGAGAAATGAATGGTTGGATGATTGGTTGAATAGAAGGGTAGGTGGGTAGGTAGATGAATGGATGGGTGGATAGTTGGGTGGATGGGTGAGTGGATGGGCGGGTGAACGGGTATGTGGATGAATGGAGTTGAATGCATGATTGATTGAATGGAAGGATAGGTGGGTAGGTAGATGAATAAATGGTTGGATGGATGGATGGATGGGTGAGTAGTGTGTGGGTAGATGGATGAATGGATGGAAGGAATAACTTGTTTTTCTGTCTTACCTATATGTGCCAAGCCATCTCTAGCCATTCCTCAGTAGGGAAAAGGCAGCCAAATCACAGAGGAAGGGGCACAGGCCAGGCCTGGTGGCTGCTTCTGCTTCTTATTGTCCTTCATGGGCTTCTGGGCAGAGATGGAGAATTCACATCCCCTGACCCATCTGGGAGCAGCCTGCGACCCCGGAGCTCCCCTAGTCAAAGCCTGCCAAATCGTCTCATTCTCTGCTCTGCATACAGGCCACCCACAGCCCAAGGTCACATGGTTCAAAGATGGCCGGCCCCTGGCTGGTGGAGATGCCCACCACATCTCCCTAGATGGAGTCCTCCTGTGGGTCCTCCAGGCAAACCTGTCCAGCGCTGGCCACTACACCTGCATTGCAGCCAACACTGTTGGGGAGAAGACCAAACACTTCCAGCTCAGTGTCCTGTGTAAGTTCTGGGCATGTCCTGGCCACCATGGTGACGAGGGATTGAGAAAAGGAAATAAAGATGGAGACACAAGAGTAGAATTTACAGCATGAGTCCAGGGGGCCAAGACAAGCGTGGGAACCGTGTCGGCCCAGAGCTCTGGGCTCCAAACACTTTTATTATGTGCACAATCTCATTGATCTTACGGGCATGGAAGCGGAGGGTGAAGGGTAGGTGAGATAGTGGCGGGGAGCACTTGAGATCCCTCTAAGACATGTCAAACCAGTGCTCCGAGTTTATCACTGATAGTTATCAGGCTGCGGCTGCATCAGAGGTATAGCAGATGAGGAGCATCAGGGGCTTTTATATCCCCAGCATTGGGCACTTAGAGCAATTCAAATCACTCCATACTGAGAACCTAGGCAGAGCCCGAGGCGTTCCGTGAGCTCTGCCCTGCAAAGCTTGTCTCCTTGCCAGCTCCCATCTGCAAAGACCCCCCCAGATCTTGTGATCAGAGGTGGCCTCTCTTCTCAGAGATCTTTGCATAAACCCTCTTTTCGAGGCCCTCATGCAGTCTCCATGTTGAGAAGCGTTCGTGGGACCACAGCAGTATTCCCCGCTCTGCAGCCACCCCGAGGTGCTCCGGTGTCACTGCACTCTCAGATGGTCTTTCCCTTAGGCCTCCTGTTGCCGCCTGATTTCTAATTAACTGCACCAATAATATAGTTTAGTTCGATGTATAAACTTCAGTGTCCTCTGAGCAAGCAAGCTTAGAATTATTGAGCTAGAATGAACACAGGTCTCCCCTGGCCATCTTGACCCACAGCCGGCTCCTTTCAGACAGCTTCCCATGAACCATTCTATTTTTCTTCTAATTCTCCGAGTTTGACAACAGCAAAAGTAACTCGATTGACTGAGCGTTTATCATGGGCCAGGCATTGCAACGGGCCTGATGGATGGAATCTTCACAGTGACCCTAGGAGGTGGGAGATGTGCTTGTGCCCATGTCACTGACAAAGCCCTGAGGTTCAGAGAGGTGACAAGAGTTATTGCCAGGCCCCAGGGTGGTGGGTTCACATCCAGGCTTCTCTCCATCTCCTGAGGGCAAGGCATACCTGCTATTCCCGTAGCCTGGAGAAACAGACCGTCCGTCAGATGAGAGGGGCACAGACCAACTTCCAGGGGTTTCTCTTTGTTCGAATCCCCCTTTCCTCTATCTCCGTATGGGGGAGCTGTTTTCTTCTTCCTTCCTTCTCTCTTGCCAAGTAAACTCTCTGCTCCTTGAAACCAAAAAAAAAAAAAAAAAGAAAAGAAAAGAAAAGAAAAATCTGTTTCTAAAATTCTGACAGTTAAAGGGAGAGTCCCCTGCAGGAGTTGAAAGAAGAAATGTTGGGACCAATGAAAGCAAAGTGACTCTGCTCAGCAGGGAACAACGCCCCCCAGCTCCCACTCCCCAACTCTAACAGGATTCAGAAGCCTCTGGTTAATGGGTGGAGAGGCTGCACACTGAGAAGCTGTGGGGTAAATGGAGGCAGACATTACTCAGCTTTCCCTTGTAGTATTGCTTAGTGTTGGAGAGCCGAGCTCTGGGTCACACAGCCTGAGTTCAAGCCTGGCCGCCCTGGGCATGGGCTTCTCTGAGCCTCAATTTCCCATCTCTGTAATGTTAAGTGACAGAAGCACTGAGGCCAAGCACTGGGGTCCAAGGCTTTCCTAGTCCTTGGCCCAGGGTCAGGGACCTCTGCTCACAAGTACCCCACTTCCCCCACCACAGTGGCTCCCACCATCCTGGGAGTGGCTGAGGACAGTGCAGATGAGGAGGTGACCGTGACCATCAACAATCCCATTTCTCTGATCTGTGAGGCGCTGGCCTTTCCTTCCCCCAACATTACCTGGATGAAGGATGGGGCCCCGTTTGAGGCCTCCAGGAACATCCAGCTCCTCCCAGGTGATGCCCTCTGGCAGGGAGGAGGGAGGGGACAGGTGACATGTCATCAGGGTCAGAGGAGAGGACCAATGAGCCTCTCCTCATGCCTGGCATGAGGCTGCAGCTCCGGGGTGACCCTGGCCCCTGGCCCCCACACAGGTACCCACGGGCTACAGATCCTGAATGCCCAGAAGGAAGATGCCGGCCAGTACACCTGCGTGGTCACCAACGAGCTCGGGGAGGCCATGAAAAACTACCACGTGGAAGTGCTCAGTGAGTCGGGGACCCTGAAGCACAGCTGGCTGGGCTAAAGACACTGGGAACCCAGGGGTCCAGGCACCTGAGCCACCCTTGGTGCCCCGGGGTGCCTCCCTGTGGCTTATGTCCTCTGGCAGTCACCAGGCAGCTAGGGGGGGCTCCAGAGGACAGAATGAGGAGACCCACTACAGTCCTGGCTTCCTCCTGCCACTTCTGCTTCAGGGTATAACCAGAGGCTCTGCAGATTGAGACTTGGGACCCTCAAAGAAGGCCTCTGAGGTGACCCCAAGAATTCCCCTGCCTCAGACCTGCCCTGTCCTGTCTTGCAGACAAATGCTCTCTCCCCTAAGGGAACAGCCAGGAGCAGGGTGGTTCCAGGGTCCCTGTGTCTCTGGGCTGGGCCCTATTTCTGGGGCTGCCCCCAGGACCAGGGTAAGCTCAGGGTCTCAGCGCCCATCCCCCAGCTCTGCTCTCAGACCCCTTGTGCTTTTCAGTCCCCCCTTCCATCTCCAAAGATGACCCCTTGGGGGAGGTCAGCGTGAAGGAAGTGAAGACCAAGGTCAACAGCACCTTGACCCTGGAGTGTGAGTGCTGGGCTGTGCCCCCGCCCACCATCCGCTGGTACAAGGACGGGCAGGTGAGTGTGGGACCCCCAAGCAGCTTCTGGCTCTCACCTGTGCTTCCGGCTGGTTCTGCTTGGAACCTTCCAGAAAAGCCTTCCCTTACAGCACTTGGCCCTAGAGCTGGTCCAGGTCCCACCCACCCTTTATTTATTTTATTTTTATTTTTCCGAGATGGAGCCTTGCTCTGTCACCCAGGCTGGAGTGCAGTGGTGCAATCTTGGCTCACCGCAACCTCTGCTTCCTGGGTTCAAGCTATTCTCCCTGCCTCAGCCTCCTGAGTAGCTGGGATTACAGGTGCCCGCCACCACGCCCAGCTAATTTTTGTAATTTTTAGTAGAGATGAGGTTTCACCATGTTGGCCAGGCTGGTCTCAAACTCCTGACCTCAGGTGATCTGCCCACCTTGGCCTCCCAAAGTGCTGGGATTACAGGTGTGAGCCACCTCCCCAGCCTTTTAATTTTAATTTTTGAGACAGAGTCTCGCTCTGTTGCCCAGGCTGGTGTACGATGGCACTATTTTGGCTCACTGCAGCCTCTGCCTCCCAGATTCAAGTGAGCCTCCTGCCTCAGCCTCCTGAGTAGCTGGGATTACAGGGGTGTACCACCACTCCCAGCTAATTTTTTGTATTTTTAGTAGAGATGAGGTTTCTCCACGTTGGCCAGGCTGGTCTCGAACTCCTGACCTCAGGTGATCTGCCCACCTCGGCCTCCCAAAGTGCCAGGAGTACAGGTGTGAGCCACCATGCCCGGCTGTATTTTTCAACAAAATGTTGAACTCTTTGTAAACTTTAAACTCTCTACTATTTTCACCCGTGTATGGCCCTTCTCATTTTGATGCTCTGTGGATTTGGTTTTGTAAACTTCTCAGCTGTTCTCATCACTTTCTGCTGCATTTTTGGAGAATGTGTTGAGAAGTAAGCGCCCTTGTCTTGCTCCTCTCAGCCCCTCATTTCTGATCTCCCTTCCCCCAACTCCATTGTCCTCCTCGCAGCCCGTGACCCCCAGCCAGCGGCTGCGCATCCTGGGTGAAGGGCGACTGCTCCAGATCCAGCCCACGCAGGTCTCAGACTCGGGGCGGTACCTGTGCGTGGCCACCAACGTGGCTGGCGAGGACGACCAGGACTTCAACGTGCTCATCCAGGGTGCGTGCCACCAGTGGGCGGGGGGCGGGGCGTTGGCCAGTGTGAGGACATTGAGGGGCTGGCCCTCTGGGGGTCCCTGCCGTGTGTCTTCTGCATTGGCTCATCTCGGCAGCCCAGAGCGCATCCTGCCCCAGCCCCTCTGCCTCGAGGGACCGAAGCCAAAGACACGAGGGCTCTGGCCCCAAACCACAGAATGGAGTGGTGGAGCCGGACTGGTCTGGTTGAGCCAGAGCGCCACGCTCTTGACCCCACTGCCAAATGCCTCTCACTTTGTTAGGGAAACCTGGGGACTGGCTTCAGAATCTCTGGTCGAGAGGAAGCTGAATGGCTGCCTCGACAGTTGAAGCTGCTTGTGGGTGCATGGGGCTCGTAATATTCCTCTCTCACTTTCGTCAGTGCTGGACGTTTCCCTTTTTAAAAAGTGAAGGAAGAAAAGGAGGGAGTCAGGAGTCAGAGAGGCTGGGAGGCTGAGAAGGGGAGGTTGGGAGGGGGAGGCTGGGAGGGGATGCTGGAAGGCTGCACAGGGGAGACTAGGGGGAGGCTGTGGAGACTGGGGGGGAGAGGCTAGGAGGCTGGGGAGGAAACTGGGAAGGGGAGGCAGGGAGGCTGGGTTGGGGAGGCTGGTAGGCTGGGATGGGGAGGCTGGGAGGAGGAGACAGGGAGACTGGGAGGGGGAGGCCAGGAAGCAGAGGCTGGGAGGTAGGAAGGGGAAACTGGGAGGTAGGAAGGGGAGGCTGGGAGTGAGAGGCTGGGAGGCTGGGATGGGGAGGCTGGGAAAGTGAACCTGGCAGGAGGAGGCAGGGAGGCTGGGAGGAAGAGGCTGGGAGGTGGGAAGGGGAAGCTGGGAGCAGGAGGCTTGGAGGCTAGAACGGGGAGGCAGGAAGGCAGGAGGCTGACAGGCAAGCTGGGCGGTGGATAAATGTCGAGAACCAGGTTTTGCTGCACGGTGGAGTGCCCATGGAGCGTCCCGGCGGGAGGAGCACCTGCTCCAGCTGCTCACACCCTTCCTCACCTCCACTGCTTCTGGCCACCAGCCTCTAGCCCTGGCTCTGTCATTAACTGGTTATGTTAATGACAACCTGGGGATGACACGGCCCCCTCCAGGCCTTAATTTTACCCTTTGTAAAATGCAGGTGATCAAAGCAGGTGACCTTGAGGGCCCTCTCTATTTCTAAAGCTGATGATTTTGTACCTCTGTGCTCTGATACACAAATGCTGGCTAAAGCTTAGTATCTGGCTTCCAACCGTGGAAAATATGTCCATGTTACAAGGAGTCTTTAGCGCCCATTAGACATGAGCTGCTTAGGGAAGGAGCCTTATCCTAGTCCCCAGCACATAGTAGTTGCTCCATAAACACTGGTTTAGGGAGTGAGGGAATTTAAGAAATGCCTTGACCTAAGGGAATGGCTCAAATAATGGATTTCTGCACCTGGGAGAGGCTGGGATGAGAATCTCCATGAGCAGAGGAGTATTCCCCACCCCTCTGCTGTGTCTCCTGAGGGCTTTGTCTCTCCCACCCAGTGCCCCCCATGTTCCAGAAGGTGGGTGATACCAGCGCAGGCTTCGAGAGCCTGTCCTGGGAGGAGGAGGTCCGGGGCGAAGTAACGGAATACAGGGAGATCGTGGAGAACAACCCAGCCTACCTGTACTGTGACACCAGTGCGATCCCACCTCCGGAGCTCACCTGGTACAGAGAGGATCAGCCCCTCTCGGCCAAGGACGGGGTGTCTGTGCTGCAAGGTGGGTCAGGGCTGCATGAAGAAAGTGGGTGCTTTGAGCTGCCTGCTGTGTGACCTCAAGGAGGGCACACGACCACTCTGGACCTTAGCTGCAATTTGTAAACTGGGGCTGCGAGTTCTTTGCCTGTATGAAGGCAAAGACTGGATTGCCCTTTGCCTCTGGTTTATAGATTGAAGCCTTTTACCATGGGGCATCCCCTTCTGGGCTTCAAGATCCGTAATGTCCTTAAACCTTTGGCAGAAACTGCCACTTCCTCTGCAGAGGCAGCTGGCTCCTTCGGTAATCCTCAGCAAAGCTCACGACCCCGAACGCTGACGGAGCTCTAACTGGGCTTTGAAGACCACTCTGGTGGCTGAAGCTCACGTTTTGTGTGTCTGTTTTCGCTTTTTTCTTTTACCACCTTAGGGGGTACTTGTTTATTTAAGGTAATATCGCTTTTAAAAGCAAGCCTTTTATTTTAGAATACTTTTTTGTAGGTGATTTGACTTAAAAGACTCTAGGGGTAGGGCTTAGAAACACCCCGCCCACTGGCTCATGGGGGAAGTCTGGGTGGTCCCTTGGTTTGAGATTTGATCGCTTGAGGCCAGGTGGGGCCAGCGGCGAGGCTGGTTTTGGGGAGAAGTGGTCAGTTGCATGAGCAGAATCGGACCAGGGTTTCTGCTTTGGTGATTGCAAAAAAATGGAGGTGGTGGCTCACAGCTGTAATCCCAGCACTTTGGGAGGCTGAGGTAGGAGAATCGATGGAGACCAGGTATTGAAGACCAGCCTGGGCAACATCATGAGACCCCGTCTGTACCAAATATTCTAAAACTAGCTGGGCATGGTGGCATGTACCTGTGGTCCCAGCTACTCGGGAGGCTGAAGCAGGAGGATCCTTTAGCCCAGAAGGTCAAAGCTGCAGTGAGCTGTGATCGTACCGCTGCGCTCCAGCCTGTGTAACAGATCAAGACCCTGCCTCAAAAAAAGGAAAAAAGAACAAAAAGGAGGCATCTCGCAGATCCAGGAATGCAACTCTTAACTTGCCGCAGCTAGTTCCTGATAGAAACCTCTGGACAGACCCTTTAACCTGGCCGCTGACCACTTACCCTGACGCCAAGTCCTGGGTGCACAGTAGGCTCGGTCACCTGCTGATCCCCATCAGACTCTAACCATCGGTTAACCGTAGCTGAGCCCAGCCGACAGCCCCAACCGCCCCCCACTGCTACCCACTCACTCACCTCTCACCCTGGCCACTGACCTCTAACCTCTGTTCTCTAATTCTGAGAACACAGATGTCATGGTCACCGCTGACCTGAATTCTTACCCTGATCTTAAGCTAATCCCAAACATCAACTGACCCCTACAACACCACTGCTGCCCCAGTCCTGCCACTGGGCTTTGCAGGCTCTTAGCTTGGTCAAGTCACCCACAGCCGGGGCTGGCCGGCCCCAACCCAGAATTCTGAGCACACGGTAACCCTAACCAGGCCCCACTGGAGATCAACTCCATCGATACCAGGCTCTGGCCCTGGCTGGCTCTTTTTTTCTTTTTTTTTTTTTTTTTGAGACGGAGTTTCACTCATGTTACCCAGGCTGGAGTGCAATGGCGCGATCTCGACTCACCGCAACCTCCGCCTCCTGGGTTCAGGCAATTCTCCTGCCTCAGCCTCCTGAGTAGCTGGGATTACAGGCACGCACCACCATGCCCCGCTAATGTTTTGTATTTTTAGTAGAGACGGGGTTTCACCATGTTGACCAGGTTGGTCTCGATCTCTTGACCTCGTGATCCGCCCGCCTCGGCCTCCCAAAGTGCTAGGATTACAGGCTTGAGCCACCGCACCCGGCCTCTTTTTTTCTTTTTCTTTTCTTTTTTTTTTTTTTGAGATGGAGTCTCGCTCTGTCACCCAGGCTGGAGTGCAGTGGAGCGATCTTGACTCACTGCCACCTCTGCTTCCTGGGTTCAAGTGATTCTCCTGCCTCAGCCTCTCGAGTAACTGGGACTACAGGCGTGCACCACCACACCCGGCTAATTTTTGTAGTTTTAGTACAGATGGAATTTCGCCATGTTAGCCAGGCTGGCCGAGAACTCTTGACCTCAGGTGATCCACACACCTTGGCCTCCCAAAGTGCCGGGATTGTAGGTGTGAGCCACTGCGCCTGGCCCTGGGTGGCTTTTGATCACATAGGGTCCCAGGTGATGCCTTCCCTGCCCCCACCCCTACCCCCACCACCGCCACAGCCCCGGGAGCTGCCTCGCTTGCCTCCTGAGTCTCCCCCCGGACTCTGCCCTCGCCAAGGAGCTGGGCTTGGCATGACAGCCGAGCTGAGCCAGGAACCACCGCGTCACACTGGGCACTGCTATGAAGGCTCAGGTTTGCGGTCAGTAAGATGGGAGTGACAACAGCTCATGCCCCACAGAGGCGGGTGGGACAGGCCCAGAATGTGCAGCTCAGGGCCTGGCGCACACTCCTGACTTAACCCCACTCCACCCAGGAGCTGAGCAGGACAGGCTGAGTCTCTTCATTTCACAGATGAGGCAGGGGACAGTGACATGTCCCAGGTCCACTCCAGAGGCAAGAGCAGCTTCCTTGCTCTTTGGGGTGACTCTTGTGCCTGAGCTCAGATGTCTGTCCCATGTCCTTGCAGGAGGCCGGGTCCTGCAGATCCCCCTGGTCCGGGCGGAGGACGCGGGGAGGTACTCATGCAAGGCCTCCAACGAGGTGGGCGAGGACTGGCTGCACTACCAGCTGCAGGTGCTGAGTGAGTGGCGGGGCTGCAGGTGGGGAGTCCCAGGACTGCATGCCCCAGAAGGGCCTCCCTTGCCAGGGGCTGAGGCACAGTGCCCTCAGTCTTGCTATACCCAGAGGCTGAAAATGGAATTACAAGCTCCGCCTCAAAAATCATGCAGGACTGGGCACAGGTTCCAAGCAGAAGCTCCTGGCTGTGTGACATCGAGCAAGTCACAACCCTTTCTGGGCCCTGATTCCTTAGCTGTGTCAGGGACTGGGAGGGCTTGGAGAGAAGAGTACCAGGGTCCCAGCCAGCGCTTGATGCCAAGTGCCACCCTCACCTCCACAGTCACCCCACCCCCAGAGACCTGTGCTGGCCCCTCAGCTTCCTCTCCCCCATCCCCAGCCCCACCTGTGATCCTGGGCGACACAGAGGAGCTGGTGGAAGAGGTGACGGTCAACGCCAGCAGCACTGTCAGCCTGCAGTGCCCGGCCCTGGGAAACCCCATGCCCACCATCTCGTGGCTCCAGAATGGGCTGCCTTTCTCTTCAAGCCCACGGCTGCAGGTCCTGGAGGATGGGCAAGTCTTACAGGTCAGGGCAGCCCCCTGCACGCACTGGGGCAGCAGCTGCCGAGTCCCAGCCCCACTTGTCTGGGAGCCAGGGAGGGGTCGTTATCAGCAAATGAGGCTCTTTGCTGGGAGCCAGGCTGGAGCCCAGCAAAAAATCACCAATGAGGAGCCTTGCTGGGCCAGGATGGCTGTGCACAGCATCCGGAGGTTCAGGAGACAGCTAGCAGAGGATCACATGAGCGAGGACCAGAGCCCAGCCCTGCACAGAGCAGCCTTCTGTGGGACTGCCAGATGACGCATATGGAGCTGTGCCCAGCACTCACACATCAGGCAGTCCCCCAGTCACCCCATGTGCAAACTCAGAACTGCAGGGATCCCTGGAGCCCAGCACACAGCACAACCCTCCATGGGGGTTGGGGAGGCTGTTGTCACGTTGGGTTTGCTGCAGAGAACCACCCGACGCCAACTTCACACGCCCACTCCTGAACACCACACAGGCCCTGGGTGGAGGCGGTTCCAGGTCTCCATGAGCTGCCTGGTGCCTGTGTCCCTGGCATGAGATAGGAGAGACGGAGGGAGGGAGTCCTCGTGGTCATTCCTGAGGGTGGTGGCATCTGAGGGGCTTCAGGCATCTCCCAGGCATGGCTCCCTGCACCTTCAGGTTTCCACGGCAGAGGCGGCTGATGCTGCCAGCTACATGTGTGTGGCCGAGAACCAGGCGGGCTCTGCTGAGAAACTCTTTACCCTCAGGGTTCAAGGTGAGCTGGGCCGAGCAGGCGGCCCCTGTGGGTTCCTTTTCCCTCCCTAAGGAGCACCACCTTGGGGCTTCTAGTGTCCTGGGCTCTGGGCCCTGGACTTAGGGTTTAGGGATCCCAGCCTGGCACCAGCCGCATCCTGAGACAGACAGCATTTGAGGGGCCCTGATCACTATTAGACCGCCCCAGGTGATTTTAAGCCACTTTGGAGGTGGCCAGGGAAGAGCTGTTTTTGAGGCGTGACACCACTGTTATTGAGCACTTCCTGTGTACCTGACACGAGGCCGAGCACTTTCCCTGGGCTGACTCCTTCCAGCAGAGCTAGGACGTTAGCCCGGCTTTGCAGCTGTGGCAAAAGACTCAGGGAGGTTGCCCTCAGAGAGGAGGTGGCGGGCCCACTGCCACGGAGCCTGCGCTCCCAGCCTCTGCCACACACGACGTGCACTGCACTGAGGTCGCTGTGAGTTCTGTCTCCAGATGCGGGGACAGGTGTGGTTTAGGGATGGAGGAAGACAGTGTTGAGCCCTCAAGGTCACGGGCTCGAACCTGAATTGATATCAGCTCTGCCACTGACCATCGGTGTGGCCTTGGAACAGGGGCTCTCCCTCTCTGATCCCCTACCTGGTGTCCTTATGTGTAAGAGAGTCATGGCAAATGGAGGTTTCTGAGTTATTTGAGGTTGTGCCGAGGTGAAGCCCCAGGAACTGGGTGAGGCTCAGGGTTTCTCTCAGGCTCCTGGCTCCCCTGCCAGTGTGATTCTCATGCCTTTCTCTGTCGTGGTGGCCGTGGGGATAGTCCCGCCACGAATTGCAGGCCTGCACTTGGAGCAGATCACTGCCATCCTCAACAGCAGCGTCTCCCTCCCTTGCGATGTCCACGCTCACCCAAGCCCTGAGGTCACGTGGTACAGGGACAGCCAGGCACTCTCCCTGGGCGAAGAGGTTTTCCTCCTGCCTGGTGGGTGAACTGAGGCTTCTGGCCCAGCTCTGAGGTTACATGGGGAGACAGTGGCTTCCCCCACCTGGGACAGGGTGGGTGAAGGGCAGGGATTTAGGATGGGGGGCTGGGCTAGAATGCTGGTGTGAGGCGCTGGCTCCCCTGGCAGGCACCCACACACTGCAGCTGGCTCGAGCTCAGCTGTCGGACTCCGGGATGTACGCCTGCGAAGCCCTCAATGCTGCCGGCCGAGACCAGAAGCTGGTGCAGCTCAGTGTTCTGGGTGCGTCCATGTCCGTCCCCAACTCATGCTGTCCCTCACCCTTCAGTCAGCCCTCAGCCCACACCCCCCGGGGAACAGAGCCAGGAGAGGGGCAGAAGGCATGGGGGGTGGCTGGGACCCCTGCACGGGTCAGCTCTGAGGAGGGGGAGCGACAGGATGGGCCCCAAGAGCCTCGCTGGGGAAGAGGCCTCCCCAAGCCTGTGTGGTCGGGGAAGCCCGTTTCACTGTGGAGCCTGTTTCAAGGCTTGTGGGCTTCAGAATCCTCCTGGGGAAAAGCTGGGCCAAGGTGTCTTAAGCAAGGACTCCCTGGAAGGTTCTTTCAGCTCTGAAGCTGGTTCCTTCACTTGCACGAACACCAGCCACACACTGTGCCAGGCCCTGTGGACTCAGCCATGGGGAAGGGGCACTTCAACATTGGTTCACTGGAGTGACAGAGGGCTGAAGGCGCCCCCACAGAGTGCTGTGACCCAGCTGGGGCCTGCCCCATGCAGGAAAAGCCTGGGTCGGAGCAGGCGTCAGCATCTCCCCTATCTAGGAGGCTGAGGCTCAGAGAGGCAGGAAGCTGTCCACGGTCACTCAGCGGGTCCTTGGCGTGCTGGCCCAGTTCTCTTCCTTCAACTCCCCTGGGTCTGTGCCAGCCCCCAGGGCCGGGACTGCTGGGATGGGTCTGCTGTGTGACCCTGGTGGGTCTCCACTGGCATTTTCCCTGTGGCTGAACGTGAAGGTGTGGGGACAGCGGCAGCGCCTCACTCTGCTGTCTCCTGCCCCCAGTTCCCCCTACCTTCAGGCAGGCTCCCAGCAGCTCCCAGGATGCCGTACTGGTGAGGGCTGGGGACAAGGCTGTCCTGAGCTGCAAGACAGACGCAGTCCCCGAGCCGACTGTGACCTGGTACAAGGATGGGCAGCCCCTAAGCCCGGCGCGGCGGACCCAGGCTCTGTGGGGTGGTCAGAGGCTGGAGATCCAGGAGGCCCAGGTGAGTGACCCTGGGGGTGCAGGTGGCAGTGGGCAGCTGCAGGAAAGTTGCCTCCCCGCCCTGCTGAGCTGGGGGGAAGAAGGTGGGCAGGATGTGGGCTGCTGCCTCTTTGGCCTGTGGGACCCCAAACCAAGTTGATTAGCAGCTTCCAGAGTGGAAGACATGGGCAGAGCTCAGGGCCCTGGAGTCACATCCAGACTCACCCCTGCAGTCGAGGCCTGAGCTCTTCCTGCCTCAGTTCCCTCAGCATCTAGAAGCTTTTGTCCGGGTCACTCTGGCTGGCTGGCTGAGACTCCTGGGAGTCTGCCCTGCCCTCCCTCCCTGGTGTGGATTAGGTGCTCACAGCGTTTGTTGGATGAATGTTTGCTGCCCCTCTGGACATCCATTCTGGGCTCCTCTCTCCTGGCCAGGCTCCATCCCCACAACAATGGGGAGCCTCTTCCTTTCTGCTTGGCCCAGGGAGTGAGGTGCCCAGAGCATGTGTATTCACTGTTGAGGGGCCCTCCTGCTTCTTGACACTCTTGGAAAAGTCCAGAGGGACCTGATTCCCTTTGGCTCCCCAGTCAGGACCAGCATATTTGGGGGTCCCCTGCTCTGGAAGTTTTGGGGGCCTAGATGCTTTTGGGGAGCCTCGCACTGCAGCCCCAGCTCTGGCGCATAGTTAGCATGTGCCCTTCCTCTCCCAGGTGTCAGATAAAGGTGTATACAGCTGTCAAGTCAGCAACGTGGCTGGGGAGGCCGTGCGGACCTTCGTCCTCACCGTCCAGGGTAAGCTGGGGACCAGCCTGACTGACCGTGGAGCCCCTAGCAACACATGGGGCTGCCAGGGAGGAGAAAGACAGTAGCTGGACAGAGTCAGCGCTGCCAAGTACTGAGGGCACGATTACTAGAATTTCTAATATCTCTATATCATCTATACTGTATCTTTATCTATCTATTTCTTTTTTAGAGTTGGGGTCTCATTATGTTGCCCAGGCTGGTTTTGAATTCCTGGGCTCAAGCAATCCTCCTGCCTCAGCCTCCCAAAGTGCTGACGTTACAGGCAAGGGCCACTGCACCCAGCTGATTTCTAAAAGTTAAAAGACTAGGGTTAGCAGGCTCCAAATTAGAACTTGATTCATGGGGCTTAGTAGAGTGACTTCCCTCAGAGCCTAAGGTTTACCTTCAGTGAATGAATCTAAAAGCAGTAGCTGCCTGCCAGCCACATTGGACATACCCGATCCCATGGATGGTGTCTGTAAAGTGCTGGGCACAGGGCCTGGCACGTGGGCACCAGGATGAAGGAGCCATATGAGACCAGACACACAGGAGGCCATGTCACCTGCATCTTGATCCCTGAGAGGGCCTGTCCCATCCACCCAAGGATGGAGCATGGATGCTGTTTGATTGGACATGTGGCTCCAGCTGGGATAAGGGGGAGCCTATATACACCATCCAGGGAACCTGGCCAGATTTTCTGGGGCTCAGATGTTATGTTAGAACATAGACTTAGCCTTGCAACAAAGAAACCCCAAAATATACCTGAGTAAATGAGAGAGTTTTACTCTCATTCAAAAGCCCAGAGCTGAGTGAGTATCTAGGCTGGTGGGTAGCTCAGCTCCATGCGGTAGTTCAGGGACCCGGGTTCCTTCCCTCCTATTGATTTTCCGTTTCTTAGGGTGTTGTTCTTGTGCCTGTGGTTGCAGCTGGGACGCTGCATCCTGTCCTAGCCCACAGGAAGCAGAAAAGAGCAGAAGTGGTGGGCAAGCATGTATTTCACGCAGAAGCAGCACCTGTCCCTTCTGCATATTCCATTAGTGTGCGCTCAGGCAGCTGGCTGCAGGGGACACTGGGAAATGTAGTTTCTGCTAGAGTGACCATGGGCTCAGCTAAAACTGTGCTGTGCACAATGGGAAGAATGGGCTGGGGGGACACTGGCCGTCTGCCACAGATGCCCAAGCCAGTAGCCTCCCAACCAGGTGAGCAGTGGGCACATGCAGCCCGGAGCCATACGCAACACAATCGTCAAAAAGAACTGACAAGACGGAGTGCAGGGGGCCGCCTGTAATCCCAGCACTTTGGGAGGCTGAGCTGGGGGATCACTTGAGTCCAGGAGTTTGAGATCAGACTGTGCAATATAGTGAGACCCTGTATCTACAACACATTAAAAAAAAAAAAAGTAACAAGAAAAAGACTGACACCAGGCTTGCTGCTCAAAGCTTGCAGCCCTTTCTGATGGCTACGTTGATGAACAGTGGAAAGAGGGGGACTATCTGGTCCCTGAGGGCAGAGGCATTTCATCTGGAGCCTGGTTGACTCTCTTCCACGGTAGTGGCTGCCTGGGTGTGTGACTTCTTCCTGGTGGAGGAGGAGAGAGCGTTGGGATCGATGATTGATGTCTGCCCTGGCACGGGTTAAGGACTGTGGGTGCGTGAGCTTCCCATTTACCATCCTTGGGCTAAGTAGACCTGGTTGGAGTTTGCTTTGTTATGCTTTAAAAAAGCCAGGCACTGGCTCTATTTACATTTGTGAACAAAACATAAAATGGGAACTCCTAACTACTGAGACCAGCTCCGCAGTCCTCCATAATCTGCCTGAGGGAAGGAAATGGGCGAAGAGTCTCAGAATTCTGACAGCCTGGCTTTTTTCCTGCAGTGCCCCCAACGTTTGAGAACCCCAAGACAGAGATGGTGAGCCAGGTGGCTGGGAGTCCCCTGGTCCTGACCTGTGATGTGTCCGGGGTCCCTGCACCCACGGTCACTTGGCTGAAGGACAGGATGCCCGTGGGTGAGGACATGTGCCCTTATCAGTTTCATGTAAAGCATTCTTGTCTTTAATGAGATGACAGCGGAAGCAGAGGAAGGAAGTTGTTTGTTGTCGATGATTTTGGCAAAACCAGAGGCTGGCTGTGCCATGTTGGCTCCGCCCCATTTGTGTTTGAGCAAAGCCTTATTTATTGGCCCTTGGAATTCAAACATCAGGAGCATCTCCTGCTGGGGCTTGGAAGCGCCTTTGCGTCCACGTCCTTAGTCAGCTCCCACAAGACAGCAGACATGGACTATCCATTGTGCAGGGCAGGTGCTGAGGGCCATGGAAAGTCCACTGGCTGTCAATGGGTTCAGCATTGGCCCCCAGAGCTGCTCCTTGGTGGCGGCTGAGCTCTGTTCTAACTGGGCCATTGGTCACCCCCACCCCCCAGCCAGCCTCCCCATTCTGGCCACTGCTGTCCCCACTATTCCTCCACATGAGGGCAGAAGCCCCACATGGTCTTCTGGGCCCACTGTGCATCCCATGCAGGCTCTGAGAGGGGCAGAAAGGTCTGAAGGTGCAGCGCGGAGCTGGTCCCTTGTCTGGGGGAAATCTGTCCACAGTGGGGGCCTGCACTACCGGCCACCTCTCCCTGGCCCCCTACGTGCTAAATGTGACTGTGCTGGGCTCCTCAAACCTGCCCCTCTCTCTCAGTAACAGTTTTACTGGGATATAATTCACATACTATGTAATTCACCCACTGAAAACATCTAATTCAGCGATTTGCAGTACAGTCACAGAGCTGTGTGACCATCACCACAATCAAATTTAGAACATTTTTATCACCAAAAGGACACCCCATACCCATCAGGAATCACTCCCTGTTTTCCCCAATTTCTTCTTCCCCAAACCTAGGAAACCACGAATCTGCTTTCTGTCTCTGTGGATTGACCTGTTCTGCGCCTTTCACGTCAATGGCGTCATAGAGGGTGTGGCCTTTTGGGTCTGGCTCCTTCCGTTTAGCATGTTTTCAAGGTTCATCCACATTGTAGTGTGGATCAGTACTTCATTCTTTTTCTTTTTCTTTTCTTTTTTTGGGGGGGATGGAGTCTCGATCTGTTGCCCAGGCTGGAGTGCAGTGGCACAATCTCGGCTTACTGCAACTTCTGCCTCCCAGGTCCAAGCGATTCTTCTGCCTCAGCCTCCCGAGCAGCTGGTATTACAGGCACCTGCCACCATGCCCGGCTCATGTTTGTATTTTTAGTGGAGATGGGGTTCCACCATGTTGGCCAGACTGGTCTCAAACTCCTGACCTCAGGTGATCCACCTGCCTCAGCCTCCCAAAGTGCTGGGATTACAGGCGTGAGCCACCACGCCCGGCCTTCATTCCTTTCTGTGGCTGTGAATATTCCATTGTGTGGCCGTGTCACTTTTGTGCCTCCACTGGTCAGTTGACGGGCATTTGGGTGTCTGCACCTTCTGGCTGTGACACTTAGTGACGCTGTGATGCTCGGTGCTGCTGTGAACCTCCGTGTCTGTGTTTCTGCATGGACCTGTGTTGTTGCCTCTCTTGGGTCAGGTGGCTGTAGGCTGGACACCCACCCCCTGTTGTGTCCAGCTCTATCTTGGCATATATGTTCCCTGCCTGGAATACCCACCCCAGGCTCCCATGGTCACCTCTGCTCCCCATTAACTGAGTCCTGCTCAACAGTCACATCTCAGCGGAGACTTGCCACCTCCGGAAGCCTTCCCCGACCCCTCCTGACCCCCAGGTTCCCCGGCTCCATCAGGGCCTCACAGGGCTTGTCAGCACTGGGTCTCCTTGTTTCACTGCCCTGCCCCTGATACGTTGTGAGTTTCTTGAGGACGGGGATGGAGCCGTCCTCATCTCTGATTCCCAAGCTCCCCGCTGGACACAGGGAGTTGCCCGGGTGTTTGTGTTGAGAGGCTGATGAGGATCAGGGCAAGGAGATCAGCCTGCGCTGGGGCAGTTAGGGATGGCTTTGGGGGGACTGTGGCTGGAGGGAAGGAAGTGGGAGGCCCGAAGGCAGGGAGCAGAGGCTCAGAGGGAGGCCCCAGGGTGACCTGTGTGGGGTAGGTAAGGAGCTGGTTTGACTTGATTGATCAGAAACCTTGATAGATGGGGGTAGAGGAGCAGGGCGGGGAGGGAGAGGAAGGGAGGTGAGAGTTGGGCCCGAGAGCAAATCCTGGACACTGAAGGGAGTGGGTCCCTCGGGAAGAGCTGTCCCAAGTGCAAGGAAACGGGAGGATTCTAAGGAATACAGACCAGGCTGGGGAAGAGGGGGACATAAAGGAAGGAGCCCTTGCCTCTGTGGCCTCAGTTTCCTATAAGCACAAGAAGCGCTGGGGGATTCAGGGGCCCCCCTCTGTCCCACAGAGAGCAGCGTGGTGCACGGCGTGGTCTCCCGGGGGGGCCGCCTCCAGCTGAGCCGCCTGCAGCCAGCCCAGGCAGGCACCTACACATGCGTGGCTGAGAACGCCCAGGCCGAGGCCCGCAAGGACTTCGTGGTGGCAGTGCTGGGTAGGTCTGCGCCCTGCACCTCCTGTCCTCCTCCCAGGGCAGCCCCTTCCATTGCCCAGGGCCTCACTGCACCCCTGCCTCAGTGCCCCCCCGGATCCAGAGCTTGAGCGCGGCGCAGGAGCACCACATCTTGGAAGGGCAGGAGGTGCGGCTGGACTGTGAGGCCGATGGGCAGCCGCCACCAGACGTGGCCTGGCTGAAGGACGGCAGCCCGCTGGGCCAGGACGTGGGCTCCCACCTCCGGTAAGGCTTGGCCCATGCCCTCCCCATAGGTGGCAGCACCCATGCCCCCTCACACCCTGCCCTCGGCCCTCCTTCCTCACCACAGATTCTACCTGGATGGTGGCTCCCTGGTGCTAAAGGGCCTGAGGGCCTCGGACGCAGGCGCCTACACCTGTGTGGCCCACAACCCAGCTGGGGAGGACACGAGGCTGCACACGGTGGCTGTGTTGGGTGAGGAGTCCTGGGGCACTGGGAGGGTGGTGCATGGGCCAGGGCGTGGGTGATAAGGTGACATTTGAGCAAAGCCCACACTGTCGCCTGGGCCACTGGTCTCACTTCCCTGGGCCTCTGTGCCCCATCCTCAAATTAGGGGACAATAACACCAGCCCAGAGTACAGAGGAGATTGGGGGGTGGGAAGAGAGTCAGTGAGTGGCTGTGCCCCTCCTGCAGTGGCCTCATGCCTCACGAGGGTGGCGGCAGAAGTTCAGGTCTCCACTGCTGGGAATTTCCCTGGGAGGAGCCCACCTTCCCCCCAAGACATCCTCACCACCTGCCTTTCTTCTCTCCACCCACTCCCAGTTCCTCCCACCATTGAGCAGGGAGTGGACGGCTCGGGGACCCTGGTGAGCAGGGCTGGGGAGCTGGTGACCCTGGCGTGCCCCGTGAGGGGCTCCCCGCCCATCCACATGAGCTGGCTGAAGAACGGCCTGCCGCTCCCGCTGTCCCAGCGCACCCACCTCCACGGCTCTGGCCGCACCCTCAGGTAGGGGAGATGGCAGACAGGTGCTGGCCGTGCCACTTAGAGTGGACATTTGGGGATCGTCAGCACATGGGAGGTGCTGGAAGGCAGGACTGGCTGCAACACCCACCCCCATCCCAGAGCGAGTGTGGACTGTGCCCCAGCTGCTAGTGTTCGGATGAGTCTCAGGGACCAGGGAAGGGGAGGTGGGCGGGGTAGGAGGAGATGCAGGAGAAGTCAGGTTTCAGGGTGGGAGAGACCAGCAGGCCACGGGAGAGCGGGCCTGGGGACTGACTGTCGGCTCCGGCCGTGGCTGGGACTGGGGACGGGCAGGAGCAGCTCATGAGTGGCAGGGGCAGAAGGGCTGGAGAGAAAGTGGGAGGGCAGACAGTGAAGCCAGGAGCCGAGAGGACTCCAGGGAGTTCTGACAGCAAAGAGGGGTGCGTGGACAACAGGAGCTGAGCCGTCCACGTGGGACGAGGAGCTTCCCGAATTTGGGAGGCAGGAGGTCTGGCTTCAGAATGAGATGGCTAGGAGCAGGCAGCGGTGGTGGGGGCAGTTGGGGGCTTTATCCTGGGGACACGGGAACCCAGGTAAAGACTTTAAGCAAAGGCTGAGCTCAGTCACCCCACCCCCTCTGGCCAGCAAGCCTTTGGGGACAAAGGATGGGAAAGGGAGGAAGTCTTTCCACACAGCCAGCCTCTCCTGCTTCTGTCCCTCTCTCCCTGTCCCTCTCTTTCTCTCCCCTCCCCCTTTCTCCTTTCTCTCCTGCTCCCTCTCCTCTCGGGGGATTCAGGATTTCCCAGGTGCAACTGGCTGACGCCGGCATCTTCAGCTGCGTGGCCGCAAGCCCAGCTGGCGTGGCACACAGAAACTTCACCTTGCAGGTGCAGGGTATGGAGCAGGGGGTGGGGCAAGAGGGTCTCTGGCCTTGGTGGGTGAGAATCAAGACCCTTGGCCCCTCTGCCCATCTGGGTGGAACCAAGGATGGGCCCTGGGGGCGTTGAGGAGAGCGGACACTGCGGCTCAATCTCTGACTCACTGGATTGCTCCTTTTTGCTCCTGATATGCCCAGGATAGGCGGGGGCAGAAAAGCTCTGCCCCAGGAGGCCAGTGCAGGAAGCAGCTCTGTAAAGAGGCAATCACAATTCCAGGCAACTAGTGACACCAGGGGACAGAGCAAATGCGTGGGAGCACAGAGGAGGGCCCCTCGCCTGGCCTTGGGGGATCAGGGTGACTTCCCAGAGACGGTCACGTCTAAGCTGAGTACTGGAGGTGGCAGTCCTGGAATAAAATGGCTCCTGCCCACCCTTTCGCCCTCCACAGTGCCACCTGTCCTGGAGCCGGTGGAGTTCCAGAATGACGTGGTGGCAGTTCGTGGCTCCCGGGTGGAACTCCGGTGTGAGGCCCGGGGCATTCCCCAGCCTCTTGTGTCGTGGATGAAGGATGGGGAGCCCTGGTTGCCCCAGAGCCTTGAGCAGGGGCCCAGCCTGCAGCTGGAGACAGTGGGAGCTGCTGACTCAGGGACCTACTCCTGTGTGGCCGTGAACGAGGCAGGGGAAGCCAGGAGGCATTTCCAGCTGACAGTCATGGGTGGGTCCTCTGGCCTCTGGCCAGCTTCTCTGGGCTCGGGAGAGAGGGTGGGACTCTGGGGGCAATGGGGAGGGCAGTGAGGGAGGTGAGTCCCAGAGGCCTGGGACTGTCACCTGGGAGCAGAACTCAGGGAGCTTGGTTCCGGCTGGGCTCCTCTCTGGCCTTGCCTGCAGGGAGAGGGTGACTGGGCTTTGACTCTCCCAGGGCTGTGCTCCTGGGGTCTTTCCACCAAACCTTGGTGGCAGATCCAAGAACAAGAGCCACCAAAATCTGGGAGCAGAGGCCCCAGACTCAGCATGGTGCTTTCGCCTGCGGCGCCATCCTGGAAACATGTGTCACTGTGTGTTCCCCTCTGTGGGTGGCTTGCAGACCCTCCTCACATCAAGGACTCAGGCCAGCCTGCAGAGCTGTTGCTGACCCCTGGCGCCCCCATGGAGCTCCTCTGTGATGCCCAGGGCAGCCCCCAGCCCAACATCACCTGGCATAAGGACGGGCAGGCCCTGAGCAGGCTGGAGCACAGCAGCAGAGCCACGCGGGTGCTCCAGGTGGAGAGTGTGCAGGTACCGCTGTGGTCGCTGTAGGATGAGGCTGGGGGTTAGGAGGAGGCTGTGTGGGAGAGGGGAGGGACTGCAGTTTCCCCAGATGCAGTCGGCAGTTGGCAGGGTTAGGTTGAAGTACCTCCTCTGTATGGGGCGAGGGTGTGGAGGTGACCCACCTAGGATGTGCCCTTTGGAGCCCCCAGCAGGGTCAGGGCCCAGGCTGATGCCAAATGCAGATGACTTCCCATCTAGACCAGAGGAGGGCTGGTGTAGTCAAGGGGGACTTCTGGGAAGAGGCAGCCATTGCACCAGCCCTAAAGCAACAGTGAGATGGAAGGAGCGGGCAGGGTTGACTGGGAAGGTGGATGGCAGACCTGGCAGGGCTGAGTTTGTATTCTGGGTCCCTCGCTGCATAAGAAGGAAACCAGACTGGGAGGTGGGCAGACAGCTGCTCAGCCTGCTTTATCCCCAGGTTGGGGATGCCGGGCTGTACACTTGCTTGGCTGAAAGCCCTGCAGGCGCAGTGGAGAAGAGCTTCCGGGTCAGGGTTCAAGGTAGGTAGTGGGCGTGGGGTGGGGGCAGGACAGGCCCGTGGCAGGGGTGAGTCCACCTCTCACGTCCTCTTGTGCTACCCCCTTCCCAGCCCCTCCAAACATTGTTGGACCCCGAGGCCCCCGCTTTGTGGTTGGCCTGGCCCCGGGGCAGCTGGTCCTGGAGTGTCCGGTGGAGGCAGAGCCAGCGCCCGAGATCACGTGGCACAGAGATGGCATCGTGCTGCAGGTGGGCGGGGGTTCAGGGCGCTGCCTTCTGTCCCTCTCAGGCGCCAGACCTGACCCGGCTGGATCCTGGGTCCCAAAGACCCACTCTGAGCTGCATTTTGCACCCTGCCCCCTGGTGTTGTCTCCCCCCATTGTCATTGTCACTCCCATTTTATGGATAGGGACACTGAGGCGAGGCTCAGGTCACTCAGGGCTTCTGAGGCCCACCCAGTGTTCTCCCCCTGGCTCCTTCAAGCTGTGCTAGCGGCTGGGTGGCCTGGGCCTGTGACCAAGTCGCTCTTTGTCCATCCCTCAAATGGGGTCAGTTTGCGGCTGTGGATTCCAGGGTTGTGGGTGTTCTGACAGGAACTTCAGGGTCTGGGGGTGTATTTCCTCCCAGAGGAGCGCATTTCCTCAGCGGGTCCTCTGTGGGACACAGTCAGGGCCTGCGGTCAGCCTGGAAGGACAGAGCCACTGTCCAGCCTCACGGGTTCCTCAGTCCTCCATGCCTGGTGCCAGGGGCTGGTCTAGCACAGCCGGTCACTGATGAGGGTCTCTCCACCCTGGGGGACTCTCCAGGAGGATGCCCACACACAGTTCCCGGAGCGGGGCCGGTTCCTCCAGCTGCAGGCCCTGAGCACGGCCGACAGCGGCGACTACAGCTGCACAGCCCGCAACGCCGCGGGCAGCACCAGTGTGGCCCTCCGCGTGGAGATCCACAGTGAGTAGGGCCCACTCCACCCCACCCTGCCCACCGTCTTAGAGCCGCAGCTCCCAGCCGCATTCCCTCTGTGCCCCTCTCCAGCGGTGCCCACCATCCGATCAGGACCGCCCTCAGTGAACGTCTCAGTGAACCAGACAGCCCTGCTGCCCTGCCAGGCCGACGGCGTGCCCGCACCCCTCATGAGCTGGCGGAAGGACGGGGTCCCCCTGGATCCCAGGAACCCCAGGTGAGAGAGGGAAGGGGTGGGCCTCAGGGAGGCCCTCAGGTGCCTCTTTGAGGGTTGTAAACAAAACTCACTTGGGCAGTTGGAGCAGAAAAGTGACTTTATCATCAGGATGTGGGGTGTCTAAGAACACAAGGACAGGCCCACCACTCATGAAGGGCTCTTGCTTGTTTGACTTGATCAGAAGCCTTAATAGATGCGGGTAGAGGGGCGTGAATGGGTCTCACAAGCGCTGATGGTTTTATAGCTTCTCTCAGTGTGGGCTTCATTCTCTCCCTCACCTTCTTGCTCAGTGAACATGACAAAAACACACCCTCTGACACCCCCATGGCCCCCAGCCCCAGGTTTACAGCTCCTGTGCTCACTAGTGAGCCATCTGTGAATTCCAATTCTAAATTCCCAGGGCACAGAATATCATTGGCCCAGCCTGAGTGACATGTCCATCCCCTGTCCAATCAACTGTGGCCGGGGGCGGGATTGCACAGTACAGATATGGATCTTGGGAAGGGCACATTTAAGATCTAGGGACTGCCCTAAGGAAGAGCAGGATGGGGCTCCTTCTGCGTCTCAGGAGAGGCCAGGCCGCGGACAGTGTCGGGGAGGCCCAAAGCAGCCCTTCTCTCTGTCTTTCCAATGTTGGCCTGGGGTGTAGAGAGCCGCCCATGGTTCTGACCCCCTGACCTTGGCCTCACAGATGCAAGACTCTCACCTCCAAGTTAGCATCTGTATTACTCCATTTCCATGTTGCTGATAAAGAGATACCTGAGGCTGGGCAATGTACGAAAGAAAGAGGTTTATTGGACTTATAGTTCCACATGGCCGGGGAGGCTTCACAATCATGGTGGAAGGAAAGGAGGAACAAGTTACGTCTTACGTGGATGGCAGCAGGCAAAGACAGCTTGTGCAGAGAAACTTCAGTTTTTAAAGCCATCAGAACTCGTGAGACCCATTCACTATCACTAGAACAGCATGAGAAAGACCCGCCCCCGGGATTCCATCATCTCCCACCGGGTATCTCCCTCAACATGTGGGAATTATGGGAGCTGAAAGATGAGATTTGGGTGGGGACGCAGAGCCAAACTGTATCAGCATCCTCTCTGATAGTGCGGTCAGAGGGAAGGGACTTGGTGGAGACAGCCTTCCTCCAGCCCCATTGGCCCTGCCCATCTCCAGGGAAACCCCCACCATCCTTTCCAGGTTCGAAGTTCTGCCTGAGGGTTCCCTGAGGATCCAGCCAGCCCTTGCCCAGGACAACGGCCACTACCTCTGCCTGGCATCCAACTCTGCTGGCTCCGATCGTCAAGGCCGCAACCTCCAGGTCTTTGGTAGGTGGCCTGGGGAAGGGCTTCAGAGTTCAGTCCCTGTCAGGGTCCAGTCCTGCTTAGTTTCTGGGTCACCCCAGCTGTCAGGAGCCCAGAGCCAATGGTCTTCAAATGTTTTTGACCATGAAGCCCATTAGTAGAAAGTTGTGATCACGCACGCTCAAAGGACACAGTGGTACTTTAGTGCATAAGCTACATAACAGAATGGTTCTATTCAGTAAGAAAGCATGCACAGAAAATAACACAAGTCTGGGAGGCCAGGGCAGAAGGACTGCTTGATCCCGGGAGTTCGAGACCAAACTGGGCAACACAGTGTGACGCCATCTCTACAAAAAAATTTTTTTAAATTAGTCAAGCATGGTGGCACATGCCTGTAGTCCCAGCTACTTGGGAGGCTGAGGTGGGAGGGTCACTTGAGCCCAGGAGTTTCAGGCGACAGGGAGCCATGATCACGTCACTGCACTCCAGCCTGGGCGGCAGAGTGAGACTCTGTCTAAAAAAAAAAGGTAAAACACCTGAAAGGATAAAATTCAAAATCACTAGAATCATTTGCCCCAATCTCCTCCCACTCCAATGGATCAGCTTGTGTGGGGCTATCCTGGCGGGGCCCAGCCTCAGGTGGGGCTGATGGGGAGTGGAGCCCGGCATCCTGGAGGCCTCGGTCAAGGAAAGGCAGTGAGAGGCTGCCCGGCTCAGGGATGGGGAAAGCCCAAAACGGTCAGCTTCAGGAGCCTATTGGAAGCTCTCCCTTTGAAGTTTCTCCTGCCCTCTCCCTCTGTGCCCCCTCAGGGATGGGCGGAAGGTGGGAGGCAGTGGCATTGCCCCTGGGCACAGCCTCAGAGAGCCGCCAGCCCCCTGTACCTGTCTCCTGACCACTGTGCTCTCCCCAGAGCCTCCAGCCATCGCCCCCAGCCCCTCCAACCTGACCCTGACCGCCCACACCCCAGCTTCGCTGCCCTGTGAGGCCAGCGGCTCCCCTAAGCCCCTGGTGGTCTGGTGGAAGGACGGACAGAAGCTGGACTTCCGCCTGCAGCAGGGTGCCTACCGGTAATGACTGGACCTTGTGGTGACTTCCTGAGACGCATGGGGTGGGGAGGCAGGGGGCAGGGACGGGGCGGGGTATGCTCAGGTCTCACAGGATCCAGGACCAGAACTGGTGTTTCAACTTTGGGGATCAGGGGGTCTTCACACCGAGACAGGGGTGAGGGCACTGGGGACAGAGAACTCAGCAGAGACGTCTGGGCTTTATATCCACCAGAGTCACTCCTTGTCTAAAAACAAAACATGAATGGGGCGTGGTGCTAATCCCAGCACTTTGGGAGGCTGAGGTGGGAGGATTGCTTGAGGCCAGGAGTTCAAGACCAGCTTGGGCAACATAGTGAGATCCCCATCTCTACAAAAAAATCAAAAATTAGCAGTGCATGGTCTGTAGTCCCAGCTACCCGGGAGGCTGAGGTGGGAGGATCCCTTGAGCCTGGGAGGTGGAGGCTGCAGTGAGCTGTCGTGGTGCCATTGCACTCCAGTCTGGGAAACAGAATGAGACCCTGTCTCAAAAAAAAGAAAACATAGAATGTCAATTAAAAAAAATTGGAAAACCAATGTAACAAGCCTAGACTTAGTAAAAATGAAATCAGCAACTAAGACTCTGAGCCACTTTGACGCGGTTGTTATTACAGAAGTTATCATAGGTGGTTATTGTAATAAACGTGCAGGGTGACGGAGAAACAGGGATAAAAATGAAAATCACAAATCCACCAGCTAGAACTTTGGGGTAGAAACTTCTAGAAGACAATTCTAGAGTCAGGGATGGAGGCCGGATACAGGAAGGGGAAATGGGTGTGAGACCCCCACATCCAGACAGCCCGGCCGGAAAGCCACGGCTGGTCTCTGTCAGCCCAGCAGCCACTCGGCCACCCATCTCTCTGCCCCAGGCTCCTGCCCTCCAACGCCCTGCTCCTTGAGGCCCCCGGCCCCCAGGACTCAGCCCAGTTTGAGTGTGTGGTGAGCAACGAGGTGGGTGAGGCCCGAAGGCTCTACCAAGTGACCGTCCACGGTGAGTCAGGGAGGAGGTGGAGGAGGACGCCTGGGGTGGGGGCAGTGCCTTCCCACTCTTGGGTGCTCTCCCTGTCTGCAGGGAATTGTGTGGCTTGCCCGTGCTGCACTGGACACCTCCTCCAGGAAGGCATCTCAGATCCTCCCCAGTCACATTGACTTAACCCCAACTCCGGCACAGTTCCTGGCACACAGGAGCTCACGGGAGATGCCCACCCCTCCCCAATCCAGAATGTTCTAAACTTAGGTCTGACCTTGTCATCACCCCTGTTAAAAATCCCTCCCTCAACAGCTGCCCATTGCCCTCAGGATAGAATGCAAGAGTTTAGCTGGACCCACCGGGTCCTGTGTGGTCTGGCCTGCCAAGCCCCCAGGTTCGGTTCACACCAGACCTGCCTCACTCCAGGGTCTAATCGAGCTGCTCAGCTTTTTGTTCCTTGCCTCAAGGCCTTCACACATGCTGTTCCCTTTGCCGGAACACTCTTCCCTTCACTCAGCCAACACCTGCTTTTCCTTCAGATCTCGGGTTAAATGGCACTTCCCGTGGGGGTCTTCTCTGGCATCCCTCACTCCAAGTGGGAAAGCCACGAGTAAACCCCTGCGAAGTTACTAGGCCAGGGTCTCCATAGAAAGCTGTATCCCCCTGGGTGCGGTGGCATTTGCCTGTAGTCCCAGCTACTCGGAGGCTGGGGTGGGAGGGTCGCTGGAGCCCAGGAGTTCTGGGCTGTAGTGCACTATGCTGAGTGGGAGCTCACACTGAGTTCAGCATCACTATGGTGACCCCCTGGGAGCAGGGACCGCCAGGTTGCCTAAGGAGGGGTGAAGCTGCCCAGGTCAGAACAGAGCAGGTCAAGACTCTCGTGCTGATCAGCAGTAGGATCACACCTGTAAATAGCCCCTGCATTCCAGCCGGGGCAACATAGTGAGACCCCACCTCTGAAAAAGTACACTTTTTTTTTTTCTTTTAAAGAAAGAAAGCTGTAGCCCTGTGCCCAGAAGGATTTGCTGAGTGGGCAAATGTGACTTCTCCCTCTGTTGCCCCACCTCCCTCCCTGGCCCTTTGTCACGAACGTCACCTTGTGTACTAGCTTTGCCCCCGCCCCGCAGCTGTGAGTCGCCCGTGCCTGCCGGTAGGGCCTCAAGCCTTGTCTTGGCTTTCAGTGCCTCCCACCATTGCCGACGACCAGACAGACTTCACCGTGACCATGATGGCGCCTGTGGTCCTCACATGTCATAGCACAGGCATACCAGCCCCGACCGTGTCCTGGAGCAAGGCAGGCGCCCAGCTGGGAGCGCGGGGGAGCGGCTACCGCGTCTCACCGTCGGGTAAATAAGGGTGACCACAGAGAGAGGCAGCCGAGGGGAGACTGGGACAGCAGGTGGAGGGGGTGAAAGAAGGTCACATGGTAGAACAAGATAGGACAGTCTGGCCTGGCTCTGCCTCTCCTGGCTGTGTGACCTGGGAGGACCCTCTCACCCTCTCTGAGCTCATATTCTCCTCCATGCTCTGCAGTGTTGAGACCCATCAGTTCCTGGGGCCCTCTGGCATACAAGTGCTGTTTCACGGCAAAATAAGAAAAACAGCTGCTCCCTGGGAGCCTTTGTAAGCCTGGTTTTATCCCTTCAGAAGAATTGTCCTTTATTCTGAAATTATCTTTTGGTGTTGAAACTTCCTTTTCATGATGAGATTCAGTTAATAGTACATGGTTTTTGGTTTTGGTTTTGGTTTTTTGTTTTTGTTTTTGTTTGTTTGTTTGTTTGTTTTTGAGACGGAGCTTCGCTCTTGTTACCCAGGCTGGAGTGCAATGGCGCGATCTCGGCTCACCGCAACCTCCGCCTCCTGGGTTCAGGCAATTCTCCTGCCTCAGCCTCCTGAGTAGCTGGGATTACAGGCACACACCACCATGCCCAGCTAATTTTTTGTATTTTTAGTAGAGACGGGGTTTCACCATGTTGACCAGGATGGTCTTGATCTCTTGACCTCGTGATCCACCCGCCTCGGCCTCCCAAAGTGCTGGGATTACAGGCGTGAGCCACCGTGCCTGGCCCGGTTTTTTTTTAAGATGGAATCTCGCTCTGTTATCCAGGCTGGAGCGCAGTGGCACAATCTCTGCTCACTGCAGCCTCCTCCTCCCGGGTTCAAGAGATTCTCCTGCCTCAGCCTCCCGAGTAGCTGAGATTACAGGCACCCACCATCATGCCTGGCTGATTTTTGTATTTTTGTAGAGACAGGGTTTCACCCTGTTGGCCAGGCTGGTCTTGAACTCCTGACCTCAGGTGATCTGCCCTCCTCAGCCTCAGGCTGGAGTTACAGCCACCTTGCCTGGCCTAATGTGATTTTTTAAATGTCTTTGCTTGTCAAAATAACAAGCTGGAAGCTTTATGGAGAATCTCCATATTTATTTGTTAGTTGGTTAGTGAAATCCTGAAGTCTAGGAACCACTGGCCAGACCTGTGATTTTCAAACTGTTCCGAAGCAACAGAACTTCCTTCTGGGCTGCACACAGGGGCTCACACCTGTAATTCCAGCACTTTGGGAGCCTGAGGCAGGAGGATTGTTTGAAGCCAGGAGTTTGGGACCAGCTGGGGCAACACTGCAAGACCCCATCTCTACAAACAAATTTTTAAAAATTAGCTGGGTTTGGTGGTGCATGCCTGTGGCCCCAGCTACTTGGGAAACTGAGGTAGGAGGATCGCTTGAGCATAGGAGTTCAAAGATGCAGTGGGCTATGATTGCATCACTGTACTCCAGCCTGGGCAACAGAGTGAGACTCTGTCTCAAAACAAAATACAAAACAAAAGCTTCCTTCCGATAAGTGCAGTAAGTGGTAACAGCAAGGTCCAACAAGTAAAACAAAGCACAGTTCTGGTTCCGTCTGGGGCTGGGGCAGGGGCAGGGGCTGTGGGTGGCCAGGGTACAATGGGCCTTGCTCCCTTCCCCCACCCAAGAGGCCCCCAGGGGTCCACAGAGGACAATTTAGAGCCCTTGTCGCTTGGCTGCCAAGGTGCAGCCTGCAGTCTGGGAAGGTTAAAATGGTGTTCACCAAGCAATCAGGGCTAAGGCCAGGAGGGTAAAGGGAGGACAGAGGAGGCAGTAATCCTGGGAGGCTTCCTAGAGGAGGTGGGTTTTTAGCAGAGCAAGGTGAGAACAGCAGGGTGTGGATCTGTGAGCAGGGGATTACAGGCGGGGAAGTCGAAGATCCTGGAACCTCATAGCCAAAAGCGTCTAGAGACCATCTTGTCTGATTCTTCATTGCACACATGGGAAAACTGAGGTCCGGAGAGTGGAAGGAACTTGCCCATGCCTCTCCCTTGGGCAGGGCACAGAGGCAAACCTAGATTCCAGGTTCCCGTGCAGTCTCATCCCCCAGGCTATTTGTAAATGGTCAGAGGAGGCAGGTTGAGTAACCAGAGACAGAGTGGGGTTGTGTAGCAGCCCTGCCACCTCCATCCCTCGGGACCTCTGTCCTGATTCCCTCACCCTGATTCCACCTGCAGGCGCCCTGGAGATCAGGCAGGCCCTCCCCATCCATGCAGGCCGCTACACCTGCTCAGCCCGCAACTCTGCTGGCGTAGCCCACAAGCACGTCGTCCTCACCGTGCAAGGTAAGGGTCCGTGGCCCAGACCCCAGAGTTCCTTGGGAGCAGGTGGAGAGCTAGAGGCAGGTGGGGCTCAGGCTGTAGGTGAGGTCCTGGGTCTCAGAGGCGCACACCTGCCTCTCATGGGATTCTTTGGGAGGAAAAGAATCAGCCACGGTGTCCTTGTTGCTGCGTCGATGTTTCTAGAACCCCGTTCTCCTAGAGGCCTCGCTCTCTGGCACTCCAAGCCCCCTGGATGGAGGGCTGTGTGTTAAGGACATTTTCAGCGCCCTCTGCACCCCTGTTCTTTGCAGCCTCCCCAGTGGTGAAGCCGCTGCCCAGCGTGGTTCGGGCTGTGGCGGAAGACGGGGTGCTGCTTCCCTGCGAGGCCTTGGGCATCCCCCGGCCAACCATCACCTGGCAGAGGGAAGGGCTCAATGTCCCTGCAGGTGAGGGCCCCTGGCAGCCAGCCTGGGAAGGGAAGAGAAGAGTGTGGGGCTGGGGGGCCCTGCTTCCTGTCCTGGGAGACCCCGCAGAGCTACTGAGAGGTCCCAGGAAGCCCCTGGCCTGCCTAGACACGCCTCCACCCTTGCTCTGGCTGCCCTCTCCCCAACACTTCTCCTGTCACCATGGCCTGAGATGCCATCTGAGCACTCGGTGGCCAAGTTGGGAGGTCGGGTGGAGGCAGCTGGGCTGGGCTGTGGGTCAGGCTTCTTGGCTCTTTCTGTCCCTTGGCCACTCTGTGACCCCAGCAAGTCATTTGCTGCCTGTGAGACAGAATAGCCCAATCTACCCACCTTGGGGGTCCCCCATCCCAGCTCCCAGCCCCCCAGTTTTCTTCTTCCTCATTCAGGAGTGAGTACCCAGGTCCTACCTGGTGGACAGCTGCGGATTACCCATGCCAGCCCAGAGGATGCTGGAAACTACCTTTGCATCGCCAAGAACAGTGCAGGCAGTGCCGTGGGGAAAACGCGGCTGGTGGTGCAAGGTGGGTGTGAGGCTGGGGCCGAGCTGGGCCCTGGCAACTGCGGGCTTGAGGCTCCTGCAAGCTTCTCCCTTCCCTGCCTGGCAGGGCACACTGCTTACAGTTCCAGAAGGAGTTATGGGAAAAACACCTCTATTGGATGCCTGAGTTCTGGATTCAGACACGAACTCCCATCGCCTCTGCCTCCTCTCTGGCCCTCTTGGAACACGAGTCTAGCAGCTCTCATTCCTTCTGGTTTCCAGCAACTGTAGCCTCTCTGGCCCTACCCTGGCACACACAACACACGCACAATTACATGTGCCCTTACCTTAGTTTGGTCATTAGTGTCAAAGATAAGATGGCATCGCTGGCCAAAAATCTGCAAAGTCTGCTGGGAGTAGTCAGTATGGGCCAGTCGTGTCCTGGCCCCAGTGGCCTGCTTTGTGGTGTCTCCGTGGCCGTCCCCGCCCGCGGCTGTGTGGGGCTGGGGTCGGACTCTGGCTGTGAACTCAGAGGGGCTGCTGGCTCCAGGCTTCCTCTGCACCTCACTGTCCAGCGTGCTCCTCTCCCTTCAGACCCGGAGCATTGCTGGTCACCAGAGCAGTCAGACACCAAGCTGGTGACCCTCACCCTGCCCAGCACCGCTCCGCTGCTTTTGGTCCTGGGGTGGCCTGGTACGAGGAGTCTGTGCCCAAGTGGACCCTGCCCAAGGCCTCTGTGTGTGTGCGTGTGCGTGTGCATGTGTGTGTGTGCGTGTGTGTGTGCATGTGCGTGTGCATGTGTGTGTGTGTACACATATGCAAGGTGCAATGCCGTAACTGTCACCGCTTCACCAAACTGAGGGAGTCCCCAGATCATCCTGACCACAGGCAATGGCCTATGACTAGGGAGTTGGAGGGGACAGCTGATGGCCAGGGAAGGCTGAAGGGCTGGGCCAAAGGCCAAGGGCCCCGTGCTGGGGTCAGCCGTCTGTCTCCCCCAGCCCCGGTTCCAAGTGGGCCTCCCTCTGCCCGCAGTCCCACCCATGATCGAGAACGGCCTCCCAGACCTGTCCACCACCGAAGGCTCCCACGCCTTCTTGCCTTGCAAGGCCAGGGGCAGTCCCGAGCCCAACATCACGTGGGACAAAGACGGCCAGCCCATGTGGGGCGCTGAGGGGAAGTTTACCATCCAGCCTTCTGGAGAGCTGCTGGTGAAGGACCTGGAGGTGAGGCACTGCCCCGAGCGCACAGCAGGGAAGAGTGGCTGAGGCCCCTGTTTGTCCGGCTCTGCGCCAAGCTCTGTGCAGCCTTTAACCCCGGGAGCCTGGGGAAATCAGCGTTACCCTCCCGGGTACAGACGGCCAGAACTGAGGCTCAGAGTGTACCTAGTTGCCCACCATTGCCAAGAGGCAGAACCCAAATGTGAACCTGGACCTTGGCAGCCAGCTCCTGGGGAACCTGGGAAAGGGGGGCACCTGGACTGGGGCTCGGGATACGGTGATGACTTTGTGTCCCGATAGTCTCCCCATTTCTTCTCAGCCATGCATTGGCATTGACCGTCCTCTGGGCTTTGGGGAGTGTTGAGCCAGGGGTGTGGGTGGGACCCCTGACCCCCTTCCCCTCAGCACTCATCAGATTCTGCAGTTCTGTGATGAGACCCTCTCCAGATGGGCCCAGTGGACACACCTAGAGGGGTCAGGGGCATTGGGCGTGGCCATCCAGGGAGCCTGGCAGTGCAGTGGTGAGCGCACCGGCCCTGCTTGAATGCACCACGAAACTCCTCCCCTTGGAGCCCCTGCTGGGCGCTCTGTCAGGCACCAAAAGCAAGCCCTGCCGTGCAGGTCAAGTTCTAAGCACAGGGCGGCACGCAGTAGGTGCTCGGTAAACAGTAACTGTTGTGCTCAGGCAGTCGGGGCTGGGGTTATGAAGGAGCAGAGCCTGTGAACACTGCAGGACAGGGCAGGGGCGTGGTGGTGATGCCGACCCGTTTGCTAGCTGTGTGACCTTGGGCAAGTCACTTCACCTCTCTGGGCTGGATGTGCCATGAGAACCTTCAATGAAGTGGGTCCCAGGGGCATCCCAACCCAGGCCGAGGCCGGGGACAGTTCTCCAGCCAACCCCTTTCTTTTGCTCACAGGGCCAGGATGCAGGCACCTACACCTGTACTGCAGAGAACGCTGTAGGCCGGGCCCGCCGCCGTGTGCACCTCACCGTTATGGCACTGCCCGTGTTCACCACCCTGCCTGGGGACCGCAGCCTGCGACTCGGGGACAGGCTGTGGCTCCGCTGTGCAGCCCGGGGCAGCCCCACCCCTCGCATTGGCTGGACCGTCAACGACCGGCCAGTCACAGGTCTGGGTCTGCTGGGCGTGGGTGGGACAGAGAGTCAGGACCCCGGGAGGTCAAGAAGGGAGGGCAGGTGGGGATCCCCAGCCTAGCGGACAGGAAGAGGCTGTGAACCAGCCCTACTGGTTCTGGGTCTTCCAACTTGGCCCTGTGTAGAGGGACAAGGCAAACCCAGCTGTGGCCATATGTGACAAGCCATATATCAGAGCTGGCAAGAGGCCACCTGAGAAGACTCAACCCAGAGACCTCAGGGCCAGGAGAGGGAGACCTGTGTTCCAGCCCAGAGCTGCTGCTCCCATGGTGGGACCCTCAGCAAACCGCTTTTGCTGGGAGGGAGGGAGTGGGGGGCTCTGTCCTCCTACCTGAAGCCCAGGTAATGTCTAGGGAGGCGCGGGGCCTGTGGAGTACCTGGTGGGTACTCACTGAATGCCTGCTGAATTGAAAAATTGCTAAGTCCCCTCCACTGCAAAATGAGACTTTCCTATGTTAGGGTATGATATCACACGCTCCCAGCTCTGAGTCCCCAGGTGTGGAATGCCTGTGCTCACCTGTGAAGGCTTTGCTGGGCCCCACCGCTTCCGGGCAGGGACCTTGGGCAAGTATAATAGTTTGGCCTCTCTGAGCTCAGCTCTTTGTCAAATGGACAAAACCAGGGGTCCTGAGGTCAGAATGACGATGGAGAAGCCGCCTAGGCACAGACCTGGCCCCGAGTAGACGCCCCGCTGATGGTAATGTTGGTCCTTATTCCTCTCCTAGAGGCAATGGCTAACCCCAAAGGAAATGTCCATTATTAGAGTCCTTCTCTTGGCTGGGCACGGTGGCTCATGCCTGTAATCCCAGCAGTTTGGGAGGCCGAGGTGAGTGGATCACCTGAGGTTGGGAGTTCAAGACCAGCCTGGCCAAGAGGGTGAAACCCCGTCTCTACTAAAAATACAAGATTAGCTGGGCATGGTGGCATGTACCTGTAGTCCCAGCTACTCGAGAGGCTGAGGCAGGAGAATTGCTTGAACTGGGGAAGCAGAGGTTGCAATGAGCCAAAATCGCACCATTGCACTGTACTCCAGCCTGAGCAACAAGAGCAAAACTCTGTCTCAAAAAAAAAAAAAAAAACCCTCTCTAGAAATCATAGCGGTGCGTCAGTGAGTGCCCTGTGCTGAGAGTTCCACAAAGACCTGCCCTTGACCGTTTATCGAACACACAGTGTGCACTGGAAGTGGTAGAAGGCAGGCTCGTTAACTGCAGCCTCCAGTGCAGCCTTGCCTCCCAGGAACGGGCCTGACTCAGTCAGCCTTCACCCAGAACTCCCATCTGTTTCTGCATCTTTATTAAGTTCCTGTAGGTATCCAGGCTCCAGGGAAGCGTTTCGGGCAGGAGTTCCCTACACCCAACTCAGAGTCCCCTCAAGCTGCTTTCTCCCCCACAGAAGGAGTGTCCGAGCAGGATGGGGGCAGCACGCTGCAGCGGGCAGCTGTCTCCAGAGAAGACAGTGGGACCTATGTCTGCTGGGCGGAGAACAGAGTGGGTCGCGTGCAGGCGGTCAGCTTCGTCCATGTGAAGGGTAGGGCGTGTTCCCCAGGTGACTTGTCTCTCAAGACCTCCAGTCTATTGGAACCCAACCTATGGGTTTCCTAAGAACCCGCCCTCCTGTCCGCTGAACTAGTGGCTCCCTACCCTGGCTACGCGTTAGAATCCCCTGGGGGACTTTATAAAATCCCGAAGCCCATGTTCTACCTCCAACTCTGTAAGCCAGCATCTCTGGGGTGAGGCCTGGGCATCAGTATTTTTGACACTCCCAAGATGACCTTGGCTGCAGGTAGAAACAGAATCTGACCAATTGCCCTATAGCACAACCTGCAGCTGGATGGTACCAGCTTTTGGTAGATCCAACCTCAGGAAACCAGCAAGGATATAAGCCAGCCCAGAGCATCCAAGAGTGTTTTGAGATTAGCGTGAATCTCATAGTGTTGCTTCGTAACAACAGAGGTGTCTGGGGTTCCTGTTTTTTTATAGTTATCGATTTCCAAAGTACCCTGCAGGCACTCTGCTGCTAATATAATCCATCTGTGAGAGAGTATATGTCACACATAACACTGTGTCCCTGCCTGTGCCTGTCTCAGGCATCACTAATCAATCACCCTCTGTGAGACAGAGTAGATGACACGCCTAACACTGTGTTCCTGCCCATGCCTGTCGCAGGCACCACTAATCAATCACCATCTGTGAGACAGAGTAGATGACATGCGTAACACTGTATTCCTGCCTGTGCCCGTCTCAGGCATCACTAATCGATCACAGCACTCTTCTCATTCAGCTTCAGATGCTTCTCAGCACAGTTCCTGGAAACTACTCCCCGTCTTCATGACTTGGCCCATGACATGGACACTGTTTGCTATCCCTGATGCACTGACTACACACAATCATCCTGGGCTAGCAGGAGCCTCTGGAGGCCCCTGGAGGCAGGGGTTGGGCAGATCTTTAGAGATGGGTTTATGGGAGGCTGAGGCTGCAGGAAACCTCTTTTCTGCCAACTCGCTCAATGTCACCCCATACAGAGGCTCCTGTCCTACAAGGAGAGGCTTTCTCCTACCTCGTGGAACCTGTGGGGGGCAGTATCCAGCTAGACTGTGTGGTGAGTGGAGACCCAGCACCGGACATCCGCTGGATCAAAGATGGCCTTCCACTGCGGGACAGCCATCTCCGGCACCAGCTACAGAATGGCTCACTGACCATCCGCAGGACTGAGGCAAGGCGGGGCCTGGTACCTTGGGTGGGGCCACCAAGGACAACTCTACACTTTTTCTGATTGCTCAGGAGGGTTCTCATGTTGCCTCCAACCCCTGCTTCTGCAGTCTACAAAGCACCTTCCTGCCCATTCCCTAGACGTCCCTCCCACTACCACCAATAGTAACCTGCAGCCACCGGGCTTTTCTGTGCCACCATCATCCACCCTTTCAATGGAGCAAATTCTTTCTCCCTCATAGGACTGTAATGAGAAATCAGTGAGGTGACTCATACCCATTGTTTAAGAGTGATCTGTGGGTAAGGCCCCCAAAATGTTATCATTAACAACCTCAGGGGGCAGGGTAGGCCGGTAATAGTGCTCTCTATTTACAGACAAAGATACTGTTTTTTGATTTTTGGGTTTTTTTGAGACGGAGTCTCGCTCTGTTGCCAGGCTGGAATACAGTGGCGTGATCTCGTCTCACTGCAACCTCCACCTCCCGAGTTCAAGCGATTCTCCTGCCTCACAGCCTTCTGAGTAGCTGGGACTACAGGTGTGCGCCACCACACCCAGCTAATTTTGTGCTTTTAGTAGAGATAGGATTTCACCATGTTGGCCAGGATGATCTCTATCTCTTGACCTCGTGATCCACCTGCTTCAGCCTCCCAAAGTGCTGGGTTTACAGGTGTGAGCCACTGTGCCTGGCCCAGATGAAGACACTGAAGTTCATAGAGGCCCACAAGCAATAACTGCAGGAGACAGGGCCCCCCACCCCCAGGTCTCCTGCCTCTGGCTCCATGCTGTTTCCAAAGCCTTGGGTCCTGGTGAAACCCCACTCAACTTCCATTTTGTGTCTCAAGTTCTGATTATTGTGCGGAAATCCCCAAGTCAGTCTGACTCAAGTTCATCTTCAGGGCCTTGATCTCACCCATTTGGGAGCCTTTCTCTGTGTAGTAATAATAATAGGACTAGTAATCAGAGTAGCAGTAAGAGCAGTGGTAATAATGGCTCCTGTTACCCAAGTACTAGCTGTGGGCCAGGCACGGGGCCTCACACTTAGCAAGCATTATTCCGTCTAATGCTTATAAGATCCTAGCAGTCGGCCAGGCGCGGTGGCTCACTCCTGTAATCCAAGTACTTTGGAGGCCAAGGCCGGTGGATCACCTGAGGTCAGGAGTTCAAGACCAGCCTGACCAACATGGTGAAACCCCATCTTTAAAAAAAATAAAAAATAAAATAAAAAAGATCCTAGCAGTGATCACTCCCATTTTACAGAAGGGAAAACTGGGGCTTCAGGAGCATGAAAATGTCATAAGTAATGGGTTCAGGGCAGTAAGCAGTGGGGCTGGGATTCAGTCTCGTGTCAGTCTGACCTCCAAACCTACACTCTTAACTTTGTGCCATGCTGTCCCCTGGAGTCCCTTGGGTGTGACCCCCCCCAGATGCCATCTTCTGGGAGTGGACAGTGGCCTCAGACTGCCCCAGCCCCATCTCCTGGTGGTGCTGCCACTCGGAAGTGATGTGAGCCAGCACGCTACCGAATTCTGCCACAAGTCCATTGACCACCTGTTAGGGAAACGCTGCCAACCGTCTCCCTTATGGAAGACTCACTTTGCACACAGGCACAGTAAATGCCCTGAGAAGTCCTGCAGTTCAGACTTTAGTACTGTTTGTACAACAGAGGTGTCTAATGTTCTTGTTTTCCTGTAGTTATTGATTTCCAAAGCACCATAACATGTTGTCTAACTCAGTGTCTCCTAAACTTATTGACCATGGAATCCTTTTTTTCCAAGGAAGCTCAAATCGTGTGCTATGGGACAGTAAGATTTCAGTGGACACGGTTTGGAAGAGGTGGATCTAAACTGCTTTTCCAGCAAGACATTCCACCTAGGGCAACAAGGACCTTAGTCACCACCCCCAGTTTCGGGCGTGAAAAGGGGCTGGATCCTCTTTGTGTGTCTGTTAACAAGTGGCCACGAGCCCTTCTGATGCTCTGGGGGGGTTCAGGTGCCCCTGGCTGGCCCCGGTCCCCTAGCCAGGTGTCTGAGCCGCTCTTCCTCTTCTCTGAGTACCATGCCCCCCCTCCTGTGCCCACTTACAGAGGGACGACGCGGGACAGTACCAGTGCCTGGCAGAGAACGAGATTGGCGTGGCAAAGAAAGTGGTGATCCTTGCCCTGCAGAGTGAGTCTCAGCCTCAGTAGAATGGGGACGTGGGGAGTGTCCTCCGGGACAGCGCTGGCATGTGCAGCCGAGAGGGCAGGCAGCAGGGCCAGGACTAGGAGTTCTTTCATTAATCCTTGTTTGGAACACAAATCGAATCATGTCAAATGTTTCCCAAATGTGGGGTGAGTGAGACTCAGGGTTGAGCTAAAGAAAACCTCGCAACCTGGGCCTAGGGGGAGCTGGCTGCTTAAACTCAGACCAGCCGTCCAGATCCCTGACAGCTCTCGCCTGTGCCAAGCAGCTCGTAGTTACCAGGTGCTATGTGAGCCTCAGAATAACACTGTGAGGTCGTCTCAACAGGGATTCTGTAGAACATGTTTTATTGAAGATGAACACCTGTGGGGAAAAGTGAGTACCCTAAGTGCAGAGTTCGGCGAATTCTTACGATGTGAAAATGTGAATCCACCCAGTTAACCAGCAGCCAGATCAAAAACACAGGGCGGCCCGGCTCCCAGCCTCCACACGCCCACCTCTATTCAGCCCCTGCCCCAGTAGTCCCTGTCCTCGATTCTGCCTGTTGTTTTTATTTTAAAATCCACCCATTTATACAATGCAATATTACTTAAAAAGGAAGGACATTCTAGGGCCAGGTGCAGTAACTCATGCCTGTAATGCCAGCACTTTGGGAGGCCAAGGTGGGTGGATCACCTGAGTTATGGAGTTTGAGAACAGCTGGGCCAGAATGGGGAAACCCCATCTCTACTAAAAATACAAAAATGAGCCGGATATGGTGGCGGGCACCCATAATCCCAGTTATTCAGGAAGCTGAGGCAGGAAATCACTTGAACCCGGGAGGTGAAGGTTGCAGTGAGCCGAGATCGTGCCATCATACTCCAACCTGGGTGACAGGCAAGACTCAGTCTCAAAAAAAAAGAAAAAGAAAAAGAAAAAGGGAATGAAATTCTGACACAGGCTACAACATGAACATTGAAGTCATTCTGTGAAGTGGGAAAAGCCAGTCACAAAAAGATAAACACTGTATGATTCTGTTTATGAGGGCCCTGGAGTGGTCAAAAGCATAGAGACCCAGAGCGGTATGCAGCTTGTCGGGGCTGCGGGGAGGGGGAAAGGGGGAGTCATTGTTTAATGAGTCCAGAATTTCAGTTTTGCAAGATGAAAAAATTCTGGAGATTGTACAACAATGTAAAATACTCAACATTACTGGACTGTACAGTTATAGATAGTTCAATGATAAATTTTATGTAATGTATTTTTGCCATAATTATTATTATTAATTTTTTTGAGACAGAATCTGGCTCTGCTCAGGCTGGAGTGCAGTGGTACCATCTCAGCTCACTGTAACCTCTGCCTCCCAGGTTCAAGTGATCCTCCCATCTCAGCCTCCCAAGTAGCTGGGATTACAGGTGCCAGCCACCACGCCCAGATTATTTATTTATTTATTTGTTTTTTTAATTTTTTTTAGACGGAGTTTTGCTTTTGTTACCCAGGCTGGAGTGCAATGGTGCGATCTCGGCTCACCAAGCCCTCCGCCTCCTGGGTTCAAGCAATTCTCCTGCCTCAGCCTCCCGAATAGCTGGGACTACAGGCACGCACCACCATGCCCAGCTAATTTTTTATATTTTTAGTAGAGACGGGGTTTCACCATGTTGACCAGGATGGTCTTGATCTCTTGACCTTGTGATCCACCCGCCTCGGCCTCCCGAAGTGCTGGGATTATAGGCATGAGCCACTGCGCCCGGCTAACTTTTGTATTTTTTAGTAGAAACAGCTTTCACCATGATTAGCCAGGCTGGCCTTGAACTCCTGACCTTAGGTGATCCACCTGCCTCAGCGTCCCAAAGTGCTGGGATTAACTTGTGCTCATTTTAAATAGAGTTGTTTATCTTACTCTAGTGAGTTCCTAGAGTTCTTTTTTTTCTTTTTTTTTTTGAGACAGAGTTTCGCTCTT